TGTACAACAAATTACATTTCCCTTCCTAATACGCTCAACTAGCTGACTCAATGGTAAATCTGCACTATCATCACCACCCTCAAGCACCTCACCGGCATCAGCTTCTTTCCTTTTCTCATCAACCACCACATCTTCACGAACATACCCCATAGCAGACTACAGAAACCACACCAAAAAAGTTTTTAACAAAACCAGATATATGTAAACCACACTACTAACAAATGCAAAACAACCTACTACAAAAGACATGACAAACAAACCAAAAACAGTATAATCCACACCACAAATATTCAAACACAAAACACTAAAAATACCATTACGACCTTCTCAATCAAGTTATCCAACTTAGCAGCATCAACATCATCAACATTGTCATCTCCATCATCACCTTCTCCCTTTCCCTCACAGCTGTCCATCTCCACCTTCTTAGCATTCTCAGAATCAACACTTTTTTGTGTCATCTCCATTGTCAGATTATCAAGATGATCATCAAGCCCCTTCGAATCTGATAGTCCCTTAGCAGAGGTATCATCATTAGCAATGCCAGCAGGATCATTGTGACCAACATCTGGCGACGCACCATCCTTATCCATCTCCATTGACAAATCATCAAGACCCGGGGACTTTGGATCTGATACTCTCTTAGCACCAGTCTCATCATCAGCATTGGCAGCATCTGCATTGCGACCGACATCATTGGTTCCCTTACCAACAACAAGATCCTCAACAGTATCAGTGAAATCGACATTATCTTCAGGACTATCCTCTGGTTGCTGCCCCTCCAGCATCTTTATATGCTCATCAACTTGTTCAATGCTCGAACTGTAATGAGTAGCCATCCTCAACAAAGCCCTCTTATAACTTTCCATGTCACTCTTCAACTGATATGCCTACAAAAACACAAAACAGCCCAAAAGCAAACCATAAACCTTCTAAAGAATCTCAAATTCCTTTTAATGAACACCTAAGACACACGTATACAAACCACATATGTTTGAATTCTCACAAAAAAACACCTACCAAACGATGAGTACCATAAAGTATTCCTTTAACAAAGTAATGCAAACCACTATTCTTTTAACAGAAACCACAAGTACACTAAAGCAACCCAAAGAACAAACAACAGAAAACACAACTAACCAACACATGAATTAAATAAAGTATTCCGTAAACAAACTAATGCAAACCACTATCCTTTTAAAGCACACTGAAAGTATGCTAAAGAAAGCCATAAAACAAATAACACAGCAAAAATACTCACATCTTCAACCGAATGAATGTCATCCAAGTTGATGTCAAGATAGGGAAGCTTCGGAAGATCCCCTTCCCTCTCCATATCAAGATCATCTACCGGCCTTTTCCTCTTTGTACCCTTCACACGTCCTTGTCCCATTGGTTGACTGGTGGTTGCTTGTTCTTCCGCCACTACATCTCGATGACCAATAGAGAGATGACCTTCGTCCATCAGTACTTGAAAAGAAGCACTTGCAACTTTGTACGACCTGTGCCTACAGGTTGGTATGGGCAGCTCAGGGGGGTTCTTCAAACGATCAAGAATTGAAATCTGCCACATACAAACAGACAGAAGTCAAGCAACCACAAACAAACTGTGCCAGAAAGATTATAATACACACCACATAAAATGATAAGCTATACCAGGAAAATTATAACAGGGGGGAAAACCAAACCATAAATACTCTTAAACAAACCATAAACATCTTCAACCACACCACATTCGTTAATAAACAAACAATAAATGAAAAACTGCAGAAACATTATAACAGGGGGGAAAACCAAACCATAAATAGCTTTAAACAAACCATAAACATCTTTAACCACACCACATTCGTCAATAAACAAACCATAAATGATAAACTATACCAGAAACATTATAACAAAGGGGGGCAAAAAGCAAACCATAAATATTCTTAAACAAACCATAAACATCTTCAACCACACCACATTCGTCAATAAACAAACCATAAATGAAATAGTAAACTAAACTTCGAAAAGATGTATATTTTTCTACTTACAAAAAGAAGATGAACGTCACCAGGGAACTTTGATTTTGATTGAACCACTTCAACCATACTTTCATTGAAATGGTCAGCCACATGCTTACACCAATTATATTGGTTGAAGTCATCGACCATTTCATCTTGCAAAAACCCAGCATAGGAGAGGTCAATCTTCAAATTTCCACTGGGGCACAGAACTGCCTCCATTGCATACAGCACAAAAAGATCCCTCCACTTCTTATTGTCCTTCTCCTCTTCCAATGCCAGTTTAACATTCGCCAATGTCGCCTTTCCTTTCCTAGTATTGGAAAGGCCTAACTCAATTCCCCACTTGTGCCTCTGGGCTGCACTAAACATATCCAACTTAACAACATACGGTCCACGCGGCAAACCATAAACTCTCTCCACATCTGCCTCTCCAATTCTAAACTTCCCTGACCGAAGCAGCGGGAAAGACCTTGAACTGACATCAAAACTTTTGCAAATCCATTCAGTAAAATTATTTGGGAGTCTCGTAAGCTTAACCCTCGACACACCCCTAAAACCCAGAGGATCAAGCATCTGCAGTTTTTCTTCAGTTGTACTGTCAGCATCCAAGATGGCAAGAATACGATTAGTATTACTGCGATGCCTCTTCTCCGGCTTTCCAGCCATAGGAGAAACACCATCTTTCTTAGGTGTCGGTACTTTTTCCTTTTGTTTCCCCTTTACTGCACGTTTCTTAGCAGGTGCCATTGCCTACAAAGCAACCAAAACACAAACCAACATAAGCAATCTAATACCAGAACATATAAAATGCAAACCATCAAGGGCCTAATGCAAACTGTACAACCATGAAAACAATCCATTAATCAAATTTAAAGGAAACAAACAACTGCAAATAAACCACCAACATCACCCTGGAAATACACCATAGTTGTATTAAAAACATACAGAAAGGCCCCAATCGAACCCACAAACACCCTAAATGTAACCAAACACAAAGCACACCACCAAAATAAACAACAAAACAACAGAACTACTGAACACCACCACAAACAACTCAATAATCAGATGTAAAGGAGACAAACAACAACTGCAAATGCACACCAGTAAATCTCCTAAACGAAACTGTGAAATCTGAAACACAAACCACAAAACCTTTTAAAAGAACCACTAACAGCAGCCTGGAAATACACAATAGTTTCATTAAAAACCTCCAGAAAGGTCCCAATCGAACCCACAAACATCCTAACCGTCACCAAACACAAAGCAAACCACCAAAAATAAGAACAAAACAACAGCACTACTGAACACCACCACAAACGACTCATGAGAAACCAGAACCCCTAAAACATGCAAAGCACACCACAGAAACCCTAAAACATTCAACAAAACCTAACCAGAACACACAAAACCTAACCAGAACGCACAAGTATGAAATTTCCTCATCTCCTACAACAAATTTAGACTGGATGCGTCAAAACATCGCAGAAAAGTGGAAAACGAAAGTAAGAGAGAGCAAACATGAAAACGACAGTTATAAATTCAATAGCAGCAGCAAGCAACGACAAGCTAACGAAAACGACAACGGCGACTCCAAACTAACACCATGCAAGTGGAATTCCGGCGACGCCAAAACAACAACGGCGACTTCGAAGGCCAAAACTGACGACAGAGGAGAAGACAGTTTAGCGGAGGAAATCACCGGCGGAATACCTCGAAATTCACTTCGCCGAAGGAGGAAACGGAATCGCGCGAACGAAATCCACAAGCCGCAGACGGAATCGCCGACGGAGGAAACGGAATCGCGAGAACAGGGAGAGAGCAACCGAAGGAGAAGTCGGAGAGCAGTTCGTGAGCAGAGGGGAAAGGGGAAAACGGAAATGGCAAATTGCGCGCTTCAATGAATTTTTATCATTAATTTCGAATTTCAAATTTAATACCAGGTAAAAGAAAATAACTTATTAATTAATATGTGTGCAATTGACCCTTATACCCCTATTGTTATACTAACAACACTTAAGGTGTTGTTATGCTATCCGGAGCCGCTTCAATTAGTTGCAAGTAAATGACAGATTAAACACTTAATACTATGAACTTGATAAACGATTCGGGAGCATACGAATTCAAATAAGATCATTTAGTGTGGCATTAGTTAATACAAGTTAAGTTATGTTCTATTACAATCAATATGAGTTGACGCATATTCAATCACGTAATGCTTCAACATGTATCAAATTAAACACTTGTTTTCTCGCATGAGGATCAACTTATGATCTTTGAACTGGACCAAAGAAAATTGGTTTGGGTTGTACCAAAAACATCAATGGAAGAAGATACCATAATTGGGAGGTAAGCAAACACATTTTCACATGGCCTACCCCATCCCTAAAAGCACATTTCTACATTAGACCATGAACCACCAAAGGATCATCCTTTCCACAAAGGCATGAAAGCTCCATACCACAACAAGAAGACATAAGAAATTCATTATCTCCTCATTAAAGAGAGTTGGGTTGGGGGAGTTCAAATCTCATTATTGAAAGATCTTCTGAAGAGAAGATAGTATATTATTGTCATGAGTTAGCACATCAAATAATGAGGATATTAATGCAATCAGCTCAAATTTTGTGGGTTAGCGATGAGCATTTAAATTGAGTTGTTTGATGTGTAGATGTAACTCACTCCTAGTTTTATGTTAATAGAAAAGTCGGTTGAATTTAATTGATTATCAAAAGTATTAGGTTCTAATACAAAACTCCTTTTATAGGTTCGTTTGCATGCTATACTTGCATGACTGAATATGATAAATACATTTTATACTATGAATTTAATCTCATTGACTCCTTGAATAAAAAACGAGTTAGTGCCAATTGTTTTTGTATCACTATCACGAGCGTCATCCCTGAGGACTCTAGGCTGAATATTAGTTGCACGACCACTCGACTACAACCTCGTTCGTAATAGTATAAAATGATTTAACCATGGTTAAACTACAATTTGCACACAAAATATCTTACCTCTAACTTTTTCGGTACTACTCCTTAATAAAATCAATGTTTTCCTTTTACTATAATTACAACCTTTCCTTTTTCTCTTTATTACTTAATTTTTGTGTTGACCAAAATTTTCCTTTTTTTTATTGCAAATTCACCTCCCCATTGCCTTACTTATCATATGAGATTCTTCCACAATACAATTAACCCAAAGATTTAGTTGAGTTTCCACCAGTATATTTATTGATTCTTGTTAACATTTTTTCCTAATCTTTGAGATATGGATGATCTTCAATGGAATATTGTTCCAAGTTAACACACCACTATGATTGCTCCAACACATGTCTTCTCTCTGCACAGTCCTCTTTTCTTTACCCTTTTAGCAGTTTCATCCCTCTTCCCCATAGGGCCATAATATAATACCACTGGTTCTCTCTTCTCCCAATTGTCACCTTTATCACAGCTTTCAAAGGTCCAACCCAACCAAAGGTTCCTTCCCATATATTAACCCTTTGCTGTCCTTTAGATTATTTCCTTTCCTTAAATCAACAAAACTCCATAGGTTCTCCCAAAGAACAGTATCCCATTGTCTCTCTTGAGCCTTGTCTCTTGCCATCTTCTTGGTTTTATATATGCGAACCAACTTCACAACTTTCCCCTCCATTTCTCCCCACTCTCTGCAGAGAAAAGCCTGCTGTGAATGCCAGAGTAAGAGTTCACCTTCCTTTGTATTTTCCCTTCAATTCCCAACTGGGTTGCCTGTTATTGAGGTTAAAGTTTCGATCTTTAGCTAGTTTCATTGCCTCATTTCTTGGTCTGTGATCTGTGGTTGAGACTGCATATTAGTTCAATGGTTTCTTTTTAGCCTCCCCAGTTCATTCATAGAGCTAAAGTTTCCATCTTTAACTAGTTTCGTTGTCTGTTTCTCTCTCAGGTTCTGAATCTGCATGTTCTGTTAAACACCAAGCTATAGTAACATTTGCATATTGATCTCTCTGCCTTCCTAGAGAAAAAAAACTATGCCTCCAACGTACTTACCCTTGAGATGGGAAAGCACAGGAGACCAATGGTGGTATGCTGCCCCAATAGATTGGGCAGCAGCCAATGGCCACTATGACTTAGTCAGACAGCTCCTCAAAATCGACAACAACCACCTCATCAACCTCACATCCTTGAGACGAATTCGTCGCCTCGAGACAGTGTGGGACGATGAGCAATCCTCATCCTCGTCGTCCCTTGACGTGGCCAAGTGCCGGTCCCATGTAGCAAGGAAGCTCTTCCTGGAGTGTGAATCGAGCAAGAGTAGTGGTGGGAAGAGCAACTCACTTGTGGCATCTGGATATGGTGGATGGCTCATGTACACGGCTGCCTCAGCTGGGGTCTTGAACTTTGTTCAAGAGCTCCTCCACAAAAACCCCTTGCTTGTGTTCGGTGAAGGAGAGTATGGTGTTACTGACATACTCTAAGCTGCTGCTAGGAGCAAGAACAGTGAGGTTTTCAGGCTGGTTTATGACTTTGCTGTCTCTCCAAGGTTCTTGGCAGCAAAAGGTGGGGGTTTGGAGGAGCATTTAGGGGATATTCCTCTCATGTACAAGTGGGAAATGTTGAATAGAGCTGTTCACGCTGCTGCTAGAGGTGGGAATGTTTCCCTTTTGAAGGATCTTCTTACTAATTGTAGTGATGAGATCTTGAGTTATAGAGATAAGCAAGGATCCACCATCTTACATGCTGCGGCAGCCAAAGGCCAAGTTGAGGTAACACATACATCATTTGGATAGGTCATGTTGAGATGCTTGCTTTGTATTCAAATCTATTCTAACGATCATGTTACTTTGTATATGTTCAGGTGATTAAGTATCTTATCTCAACCTTTGAGATGATCAACTCAACAGATAATCAAGGCAACACAGCATTACATATTGCAGCTTACCGCGGCCAGCTACACGTATTCCAGGCTCTAGTCGAAGCATCTCCTTCGATGCTTGCATCTACTAACAATGCTGGTGAGACTTTCCTCCACATGGCAGTCTCAGGCTTCCAAAACCCTGCATTCAGAAGGCTGGACAAGCAGATCGAGCTCATGAAGGAGTTGATTCGTGGGGGAAGTTTCCACATCGAAGAAGTGATCAACGCCAAGAACAGTGATGGAAGAACAGCACTCCACACTGCAATCCTTGCCAATATGCATTCTGATCTCGTCCAGCTCCTGATGGCTGTCGAATCAATCGAAGTGAATGCTCGAGATGCAGATGGAATGACTGTGCTTGATTTGCTAAAGCAGCGCCCTCGTTCTGCTTCTTCTGATGTCCTGATTAGGAAGCTGATCTCGGCTGGTGGGATTTTCAGTTGCTATGATTACACGGCAAGGAGAGCCATTGCTTCACGGCTTAAGCTGCAATCCGGGCTAGGAAGTCCAGGGACTTCCTTTAGGCTCTCTGATACAGAAGTGTTTCTCTATACCGGAGTTGAAGTTCGAGCAAGTGGTGGACAAGGCAATGGAGGAATGAGTTCATCTTCCTTGGAACTGAATCAGGTGGATTATACAACAGTAAAGAAAGAAGAAGGTGAGATTCCGAGCCATGCTGCTCAAGGGCTGAAAAGGGTACTCCAATGGACAAGGAAAAAGCATAGGAAGCCTGCTGAAGGACACAACAGAAATTGCTCAGTAGCTTCATCATCAAGGAGATGCAGTACAGTAACAGCAGCTAGTACTACTGCTTCAGATGAAACCCAAGCAGAAGCCCCACTTCGCCATCGATTCTCTACCAAGCCACCATCAACGCCACCACTTACAGCAAGCAACAAGAGGACACTGGCAGTAAGGAGCAACCAATCAAGTCCAACAGCCAAGAAGAAGCTTGCTTCCGGGGCATTAGTCCATGGAGTCGTTCAGGCATTGCCACATATTGCAGTTCCTGGAGCGAGATCGCGGTCTAGTTCGTTCTCCAAATCGTCCCTCTCTTCTCCATGCTCAAAGGGTGTGTTTGGTGAAGCCGAGGGATTGGATGTAGGGTCGCCGAGCTTGAAACACAACCACCATCAGCATCATCGGAGGTCGAGGAGTCAGTACTTTTGCTTTGGAGGGTCAGGGGTTTCAGTGAAGAGTCCAGTTAGTAGTAGCAGGCACAGGAGGCAGCAGAGTGCTAGCTATACTCCACCTGCTGTGTCAGTTGCTTAGCAAAAAAAAAAAAAAAGGTGCAAGCTTTAGAGGAAATGGCAGCTAAAACTGACTGTTAGACTCTAGCAAAGTTCATAATAAGGACTAATGAGGAGTTCCCTAATTAGTAGAATGTCTTCTTAGTATCTCATATGTTTAAGTTCAATGTAATTTGTACCTGTGTTTGAAGATAGAGAAATGGAAACAGCTTGTTTTCTTAACTCTGGCTGATCAATGAGGTCTCAAAACTTAAGGCAACAGTGGAATTGGATTCATTCAGATTTGGGCTTCTGGGCCTATTGATTGAGCCTATTCATTTAACGGAAATTTGTCGAATGCTACCATGGGCTATATTTGGGCTATTCGTGTTGATTGGGGAGGCTAGTCTGTGGCTCATCAGAAACCGGTGAAAGAACCGGGGCCCATTTAGGTTTAAAGTAAAACGTTATCGATATTACTGCTTGTTGGGCCTGCCCTGCGCTGACTACCCCAGATTCAAACATGAAGCAGATCTCCTTAGAAAAAAAATCCCCTATAACTATAACATTCGGAGCAACAGTTGCAGAAATGTGTCACATAGCAATAGGGTGTTGAAATGGTTACTATGGTTATAACCAAACCAAATAAGGCTAAATTTCATTAACCATGGAATACAATATCATAACCAAACCGTCCAAATTAATACAACAACCAAATTAACCAAACTAAAGTTTAATCGGTTTGGTTAATTGGTTAACCAGATTAACCAATATAAAATCACATTATCATTGATGATGAAAATTTTCCGGTTAATGTAACAATTTGCAATTTATATAATGAATAAAACATAACAATCAACATGTAGTTATAGTTGACCCTTAACTAAAATACATGCAACTAAGACAATTATCTTACGATTAGTATAGAAGTATTCACCTAACAAAAATTTATGACAATTGTATGAGTTAATGAATTGTTGTGTTTGTGTAAATTGACTTAGTCTCTTAGCAATTATCATAGGCTGGAAATGACCTTCATTTCAAGTTTTCATCCATCATAATGTATGAAATTTATCTAAATTAGGCTTTCATATGTTGTGGTCCACACTTTACATATACAAATATACACTATATGAGCAATATTGAGCTTTATATTTTATGAGTCTAAAAGAGATGAACGTTAACTCTTGACTGGTTATGCAAAGTATATAGTATGTGTATATAATATATGTTAGATATATGACTAATTAATTAACTCGTTAATTTGGTTTGACTGGTTAGGAGTGTCTGAAACCAAACCAAACCACATAAATCAAACAAGCTAAAAACTTTAACCAAACCAAACCAATTATCCAAATTAACCAAATCAAATTATCCAAATAATACCGGTTAAAACGGTTACCACGGTAACCAAACCAAACCACCTAAACCAAACAAGCTAAAAACTTTAACCAAACCAAACCAATTATCCAAATTAACCAAACCAAATTATCCAAATAATACCGGTTAAAACGGTTACCACAGTAACCAAACCGTTTGAACACCCCCTACATAGTAGGCAATACTATTATCAATTACGATTCACAAAAACGCGCAAATACTCTGAAAATGCATCCAATCGATAACAAATCTCTCCCATGAGAGCTCTTTGAGCATCCCTAATCTTACGATCGTTGCATTTTGCCTTCCAATTTGGGCATTGTATATATAGAAGACGTCCTGGAAATTTTGGAGCCATTTATTTATAAATCCAAAAAGTACAATGTAACAGGGTGTTTTTTTTCTTCTTCAAGAAACCAGCATAAATTCAGAAACCGTGTCCTTCATTTTTTCCTTCTGTATACAATTTGTTCCTGTCGAATTTAAGGAATCAAAATATTCTCCCTTATCCGCTATGATCACAAGAATCAATTCATATGCAGATTATATATGTAAATGGACCAAACAAGTTACAGGAATCATAGACATACATGGTAAGGTTGATCAAAACAATGGTGATGACTCGTTATCTGTTTTTCCTATCAAACGAAAGACACAGGTACATGAATTTGAAGGTTCATCTTGTAGGCAAATATTAATATTGAAATCGCCATACAAGATATTACTATTCTAAACTCTTATATTATATGACAAATTAGGTCATCTTAATAACTCAGAACCTAACATGAATCTTAAATCACTCACTTGTCACAAATGGGTACTAATTAATTTCTCCAACTTATAATTAACTTTCTTAAAGACATCTACTGTGTACTCAAAAAATATAATCATATTATGCACCCAACTATAAAATTAGTATTAAGACATCGAATCTTGAAATTTAACTAGTAGCATTATTCTACTATGATGATATAATATAGGATTATAACTAATTAATGCATTATCCTCAGTTCTAAACCTTCAATTTCGAATTCTAACCCTAAGCCCCAAATTGCTAACCCTAAACCCTGAATCCTTCAAATTAAAGTAAGTTTTGAATCATTTTTGTACAAATTCATGCATTTTCTTGTCCACCATATCACAAGTAACGATTGACATCGTTTTGACATGAATCGCCTGCTCAGATAACGATTATGAAGCGGGTAAAAAGTGAGCTCACCAAATGCAAAACTACAATGGCATTACTATATATATATATATAAATTTTGGGCATGATACTATACCATAACCTCTAATGGATAAACCTCAGTCCCTAATTCTCTAACCCAAGCCACGAGATTCATTTAATATAAAAAATAATAACCAACGGTTCTGATTCAGTGAAATATATTGAAGTGCAAAAACAAGTGTGAACACAGGCGTACGGCCGTACGCCTGGCGTACGCTACCTTTGCCATATATATATATATATACTAACTTACCCATGGTACAGTTTTGCAAACCATTCCTTTTAATTTTAACAATGCGCGATGGTACAATTGTACTGGAAGGATAGAATTAAGGAGCTAGGACGACAGAAGCAAAATGTTAGGAAAGCTATACATAAGTTTGTGCAAAACATTAAAGTCACCCAACTACTTCCTGTCCATCGTTAAAAAGGGTTCTCCCCAGGTTGTCAAATCGGTTTATGCCAGTGTGCTGGTTTAGCAAGTGGAATGGTTCAACCGGTGGCACATACCGGTTTGTGCCGGTTCATGCCGGTCAATATTACAAATAAAATTATAAATACTCATATTTAAACATGACATTTAACGTCAATACCTAAGCATTTATACTTGAATCCAACAAATAACATCAATATTTAACTTTTATACTCATAAAATAAATAATAAAATAATTTTTATCAATTAAATTCTCTAAAATAAAGTCATTTTACTTAAAGATTCGTATATCGATCATGCCGGTCATACCGGTTGTGTCACGCCGGTTTTATGACCGGTACCAGTTGAACCCGGAACAACCAGTGGCACGCCGGCCGGCGTGACAACCATGGTTCTCCCAGTCCTTTGGCCCATTAATTATCAGTTTTCTGGTACCCCTAAAGGGTAAGTGGCAGAAACCCTTAAACCCCCACCTGCTCTGTTGCCTCCAATTCAAGCTCACCACGAAACTTCCTTTTCAATTTGCTTACTGTTTACGGCCAATTTACAATTCAATACACAGCCATAAACTTCCTGCTCATTTCAGGAAACCTAACAACCTAATTAACCACCCGACCTGCAGAAACGCGGTTTTGGGATAATTGGTGAGGTAAATGGATCGTTGAAGAAAGAATGGTGATGTCAAAGAATTATTATTTTGAAGCGAGCAATCACATACAAGTCCGGAGTGGTGAGGAAAGTATCTTCCGGCCAGGCGTCACCATTACACCAGGCTTGTATCATCACTGGATCAGCCGATCTCGCCAAGTCCAAACAAAATGCAAGATCTCGCCAAGTCTCACATCAGCAAGGAAATTAAACACACATCCATCCCTTGCCAGCAAACGGTTTCGATTATTCGTTGAAAACAATTAAATAGCAATCAGAGAGATGAGATTATTAATTAATTAGGATAATAACAGGCAGTATATGAACACATGGACTTGACTCTCAACAACTTGGAGAAATATATATTCCTAGCTAATTATCATATACAACAACTACTAAGGGAACAAGAATTAATTAATGTGCCGATTTCAAACAATTTTGTTCAGGCGTTCGACTTCAAAAATGACAGCTGCAAGTTGCTATTAACAATTGACTCCACAACATATGCTATTGGCGACGCTCCAATACAAACCATGATGATGACGATGACGATGATGGGCAATTGGGCATGATAATATTATTGTGACATTCCAACTGGGAATAAGGTGATTGATGGCAACTCCAATATGAACTCCCTAGCTGTTATATTCTTTCCAATACTACACCCAATGGCGTAGCCAGAATTTCGTCTAAGGTGCCACTTAGAAAGAAAAAAAAAACATACATGATAAAATAATTTTTGTTAACTTTGCTAGTCATTCATGATATAATCTTAGGGATCTCCTACAGTAATTTGGGTATAATTTAAAGTAAGATAAATTTTACGTAATGCTACCAATGAAACCTATTATAACAGGTAAATAAAAGTTCAAGTTACAGTAGGAAATCCCTATAATTTATCATGTCGGGAATTTTTCCCTATTTTTATTGTGAGTCAATACATATTCATGTAAACTCAAATTGCCAATTCTCATGAGTTTGCCAAATAGAATTGCATGAATATAATTATACCATTATATATATATATATATCGCTTATTAACACTTAAGTGATGGGCTCAATTAGCAAGGACAAATGATGTCCTCTCTCAAGGGCAATCCGCATAGCTCATTATTCTTACTCAAATTCTTTCTACTGACCACCAACAGAGCTATTAGGCTCAAATCGTCAGCTCTAATACGTTTGTCGGGTGTAAGTAATCGCAAAGATGATGATTTGTTAGCGTAGAAAGAGGATGAAGTGTGACAACAACGATGGATATAGATACTAGATAGCACGTAGCGTTGACTAGAACATTAATACAAGTCAAAGTCTTCAAATTGCGGCCTCCAATTTCCTATGAAATTTCCACAACATGGAAAGCCTTAATTACGGCACCTACCCCGTTCATTTTCAAATTGATAAGCTCGATACAAGGCATTTGATTTCTGAAAGAGATGGATAGCTTCATTGTGTATGTAAACACACGCAAGAATTACTACTACTATTCTAGTCACCTTTTTTAATGTGGTTTTGATTATTGTACCAATGTAATGGAAATGGAATAGTTGGGAATGTCGGATAAAGATCTCCACATAATTAACCACAAGTAATTAAGTAGTCATATATGTTGTTGAAATACCTTAGGGTGAAGATGAATGTTAGGGAATGATCATGGCCTCGTAGGACCTCTCTTTCGAGGCAAGCTCATCTACATGTAACATATGCGTGGGTTTTAGGGATTTTCGTTGAAAGCGCATTAAACGCAAGATCTAATACATTTATTTGTAGATGTGCTTTTAGTGATAGCTTCTTAGATTCCATATGTTAGGGATTTTGCAGTGGCCAAGGTAATATACTAAAAGACGAATCAATTAACTTACTAGGCACGTGCGTGCATAGACACGTGTCCATATGAAAAAAGAGGTGACGCTATTGATAGAGAAGATCAACTAGACAAACCAAACCCTGACACATTTACATGCAATGCATTCCAACTTTTTCTTAGTCAAATAAATCTCGTGTGGCCTCATAAAGGCCTCTTTCGACACACATAGGGCACTCTATGATGCTTGACTAAAAGCATCCGATTGGATAAACCCTAACTTCAACTTCAATCAGCCGATATAAGGACCCAATTCCATAATGAAGCTTCAACAGTTGTGTGGTACTACAATGGTACCACCACCAAATGCGGCCACAAGGAAGAGATCTTTATTATTATGATTATCTTGGACTACTTATTGTTCTTAATTAGGACTTTGAAAAAGAAAGAAAAAAAACAAATGTATGATATATTAAAAAGTCGTCAGGTAGTGAGATTTTCTCTTTAAATTTAAGTGCCTTAAGGATCGACTAACATATATATGAAGTAAAAGTCAACTTTTGGATCATATAAAATCAAACTTGTACAACTCCCCAAAAAGCTATAGGTGGCTTTGGCTAGCTAGCTCCATGCCATGTACGCTAATGTTCAAAGTTTGACAACCTCTCAAACCATCCCACTTAGAATCACACGATTGGGTGGTGTCTTATTCTTTAAAAAAGGTTGTTGATACAAGACAAAAAAAAAAAAGACCTAAAATTCATTAAAAAAAAAGTCAAATTGCATATTTCTCCGAATTCCATTTTAACAGAAATCATTTCTCAAAGTAAAAAAAACTTTCACAAAAGTTGAGTCCTGATAAACCTTTTTTTCTCTTTTGATAGATGATCGATTTTTTAGACTAAAAGGATCAGAAATCTACGGCAAAATTATGGAGGGATCGAGGTAGAGTTTGTGGAGAAAGAGAGGAGAATGGCCAGCGGGATGAGAAATTTTACAATGCTATATAGTATTGGTGCTATAGGTTTTTGCCTTTATGGTACAACTTCATATTGTACCTATACTTTTTGTACAAATTCTTTTATGGTACAACTTGAACTTGTACTTTTATGTGATGGTACAATTTCAAGTTGTAAAGTTGTACCATAACATAATGGTACAAATTGTTTTATGGTACAACCTAAACTTATACATTTAATGTTATGGTACAACTTTAAGTTGTACATTAAAGCACCAATACTATATAGCATAGTAGAAGTGCTCCAGCGGGATTAGGGATGGTAGCATATAAATGTTTTTTTTTGTTATTTACTACTTAGATTTTTCATTCACAAATTACGTAACATATATGACCCGAAACCTCTTTAAACTACTCTTATTTTGGCTAATTACCCAAACCACCAACAATTCCCAACACCCAATAAAATCTCCAGAATCCAGGAATCATTCTAAATTATTACCAAAGCATAATTAAACATTGTTAACCATAAAATTAAACAATAAACAAACCTGCAGAAGAACAAGTTGCTATCACCTTCCTACGTACATCTACTCTTCGATATCAACTTAAGCATTGGATGTTAGATTAAGATTAATCCCTTCTCTAATATGACTCGTGTATCTAATTCAACCGAAAATGATTAACATATTAGATTCCGATCATAACCCAATATCAATTTTCTTTTACTGATTTGTTGGAGCATATGCATACCCCGTTGTAAAGGAGCAATCTATGGGCCTGAGATAATGTAATAAGCATGTTACAAAATTCTATAAGATTCCAGCGGCCCACTTGGTTGCTCGATCCATCCCTCCCTCAAATTCTTCGTCAGCCTTCATCGTCCCATCACAGCTCTATAAAACAAGTAAACAACCTGTTGATGTATCTTAGAGAAGAAGCCTATGATAGTATATTACCCATTGCCGGCCGGTTTGGAGTTATCATATTGTATGAGTCATGACGGTACATATGCTCGAAGGATCCCTTGAAAAAACCTAGGAAATTGCCTAAATTATGCCACAAATAACGTATAGAGCTAAGAAGAGAGAGTCCAATGGCTCTTAAGCCCCAAAGGAATAAAAAGAATAATAATTGCTTAGCTTGATAACGAAGAGCAATTCCACCTTTGTCTCTTTTTTAACGATTAGGCATTTGAATGATTCGACTCTGGTTAGTCGTAATAATTAGAGTTGTTCGGAGAGGTCTATGAAATTTAATGTATATTATTCCTTGACATGCATATGTATATTTGCTCATCATACATTGTTGTGCTTAGACATGCCAACAATTAATTATGTATTGAGATTTCCATATATCTTATTTGAGGTACTACATGTTGAATGTTAGATAATGATATAAGATTCATTCTGGAATCAGCGGCGGATCCCGGGGGTGGCCACCGTGGGCCACAGCCCAGTCCTCCTCTGGATCTGGAGCTAGTATAGCCTTATAAATTTTTTCGATTTTAGACATTCGGCTTAGTGTTATTTTATATTTAGATTGCGTATAATTAGAAAAATGGCTCTCATGAACATATTCAAATCACTGCTCTAAATTTAGTCTAGACGCAATGATTTTCGTACAAAAAAATAAATAATAAACCTGAAAGACTAAAAGACTAAAAGAAATATGAGGTTTATTTCGTTGAAAATTTACTAGAGCAGCCAGTGGAAATAGGGATGGACACCCAATACAAATTGATTAGTCGATTGATTTGTCAGTCTTGACGTTGCATGTTTCAACGGTTGCTACCGAGAGAACCTTTTCAACAATGAAACATGTGAAAACTGATTTGCGTAACAAAATTAGCGATGAGTTTCTCGATTGCTTAATTATTGGTACGGATGTAGACTCCATTATTGATGAATTCGCTAATTAAAAGATCGTCATGTACAATTGATATTGTACAAAAATAACTATGGTTATTATTTTCTTACGATATCTAATTTTTTAATAAAATGCGGCTCAGCGCTCTACTGTGTCCTGGATCCGCCGCTGTCTGGAACTACCTTGGTCTATTGGTAATACCCCTAGTCTAGAACCTGGAGGTCCCAGGTTCGAATCACCTGAGTAGTACCTTAATCACAAAATAAATGAAACTTATATCACCCTCGTAAAAAAACAACTCAAATTATTGGAATTTGGGACTAACCAGTTTTCGAGAAGGTATCATAGCACTTGTGATGACCAAGAGGTCTTACATGTGTTTGTACGTATCTCTTGACCTCCCAATATCAAGTTATCAACGATTGATTTAAGCACGATGTATGATGGTTCCATAACAGCTTCAATCTCATAGGTTGGTCCTCGTTGAGGGAGCGTGTAAGAGAATGTTATACTATGATCCATTCTTGAACATCTCCCAACTTGTATTCGACACCGAGCTAGCCAAACACAAAACTCCTCTCAATCAAACAACTTTTGATACCATATTGTGAACCAATTCATAATCACTGAATACTCAAATTGTTGGGAGCGATGATCATTCAAGCACCGATCATATACCACCCGAAAACCTTTCATCGAGACATTAATAAACTTAAAGTGTGTTTAGTCAAAAGTACTGCTTCAACCAAGAGTACATTGGCCAATTATATGGTCACACAACTATAGGAGCATTCCACCCACTAGCTAGCCCAAGATTAATTAAGGAACAACCAGACATGTGACATTATAAAACTGTCTAGATCAGATGTTTCACCAAAGTGGTAGAAAAAGCTCACAAGAGAAACACATTTCAAGCTCCTCCACCAGAAGCAGGAAATCCGTCCAAAGTGGTGGAAAATTAAGCTTCCACGTGAAATTCCAGACACTTGTTAATTTTTATCACAACAAATTGTACTCCATCAAGTTGGCAATGGGGAGAAAAAGGGTCTCCAAAGTGCTGTGATGGATCATGTGAGGAATTGGCCATCAGTTTAATACTAATAATAATTGTCTGTGTATACATTCATTTCATCTTGCCTTCATTTCTTCCCAGCTATTGTGGAGCACTGCAGCCTCCAACAGTCATTGCAGGAACTGCAGGAAACTTAAAAGAAGTTACTGCAGTAAAAAAATAAGACGACTCCGCTGGGGATCGAACCCAGAATCTCTGGTTTCGTAGACCAGCGCCTTATCCATTGGGCCACGGAGTCAAGTTGTTGGGTTATGAATAAACAACCTCATAATTAGTTGTAATATTGAGAATGGGGGCATCATTCTCTTAAGTTTTAACTCATTATAACTTTTGTTCCTAAAATCCTCTCTTATTAAATTTGTGTATCAAACAAGTATGTAATTTATAACCTTAAACTTTTAAGTAATGTATTCGGGAGCAAAGATTAGAGCTTTGAATCAAGAGATAGCGATATTGGTGTTTTTTGTTGATTCTCATATTTATTTAGTCAGTCTAGTTTGAGAGAGAGTGGGAGAAATCTGTTTGAATTGTAATATTAGGGGGCTCACTCACGACTTGTAGTTAAGAAAATAGAGGAGTCTAACAAGTTTGATATAAGAGGTTGAAAGCCCATATATCCTTGACTCATAGATTCAATTGTGATATCTTATAACTGAATAGTTTAACTAAGGTACAATAATTTCTATATATGATTTTTGAAGGTTTGTTTTCCCGAATAATTGTGAACTTTATAATTTAATTGAGATGAATTAAATACTTTCAAATAGTATAACTTATAACTTATTTCGAATCGAATTTTGTATATAAGAAGGGATGATTCAATCATGTCTAGCTATTGAACCTAATGTTGAAAGATTACCGGGAAAAAAGCTTTCTCATTCATGCATGATATATGCCCCCACATAATTTTGATGTGGGACAGCCAGATAGCAAAGTAAGCCGGCTGAGATAGTTGCCGTGGAATTTTCCACTTGGAGAGGAAAAGAGGCAAAGGAGTTCACACTTCACACACACATATTAACATGAACCCTTTTACTCTTTTAGCATGGCATAGTCTATTTGCATCAACCATCACTAAACTTCAAGTTTACTAACAAACTGGTTATTAAATTTTAAACTTTCCACAAAATTGCCACAAAAATTAAAACTAACTAACAACATAGTCAACTCTATTCAATTCCGTCGAGCTTTTCATCCACATTAACCCGTCAAATCAAATAAATTATCAATGCAGTAGGTTAGACATACCCCCCAAAATAGCTATAGAGTAGAAAGGTGAATTGAGCATATTGTTGGTTTATATAAATTGGGTTTTAATAACGAGTTTGATTTTGATCATGTATGAGTCAAAATGGGTAGTTCCAGTTGACTACATAGGTTCACTATGGTTAACCTGGCATATTATTAAGGGCAATTCATACAAAAATCTTATGCAGATAGACGAACATGGTCATTAGATAAAGAGGTTTAGGGACTGATTTGTTAGTAACCTAAAGTTTAGAGACCATTTATTCATTGAGCCATTATTATTAGGCTCTAATCCAACTAATCTTCATATTCAAAACCATCAATTTCCAACCCAATTGGCACTCCCTCTGTTTCTCTCTCCCTACAGTTTGCTTGTCTGTCCTACTCCATCCCTACCACAAAACCAAAGACTTCCCAATCCTCCAAGTCAAACAAACAAACAATAAGCAGCAAAAACCAAAAAAAAAAAAAGAGAGAGAGAGAGAGAGAGAGAAATTAATTTTAATATAAAGGCTGCCTTCTTCATTCCCCTTCCCCCTCCCCTGTCTATAAATATATACACAGCACAAGCCTGCAAATCGTAGATTCCGAACCCTGTTTCCTCCTGTCAAAGAAACTCCTCAACTCAACCAACCCACCCCATTCATTAAAAATTCCCCCTTCCTCTTCTTTCCTCATCTATTTCTTCAAGCTGAAGAAGAACAATGGTGGGAACAGAGCAATCTCCAGCTCGGAATAATCACCAGCAGCAAGTAAGTCTTCGCACGCATTCGATAATACTATAGCTTTGTGGTCTCGGAAACTATAAAGTTCCAACCTTGTCATCTTTTGTGTTCATAAGGCTTAACGTTAGATGGACCGCAATTGTCTGCTAGTTTCTTTAACCATTTAATAGTTCCCTTCATTTTTGGGCTTCTGGGTTCTTTCCCTCTGGTCTAGCTCGGGGCAGAGCAAAATTGTCTTCTCTTAAGTGTGATCTTGTTGAGATTGTTTTTGTTGGGGGGGGGGGGGGGGGGGGGGGGGGGAAGGAGGTTAAAATTTACTCACTCTGTTTTATCCTTCACATTTCGATTGTTCATCTTCTGATCAGAACTGTGTTTTCCTTCCTTTCTCTCTGTTTTTGGGTTCTAGCGAGAAAAGGGTTTTAATTCTGTTTAATTAAACAAATTACTATAATCTTAACTGGAAATTGTAATTAAGAAGGTTAACCTCATCTCAAAAAACAATGACCATATACCTCCTTGTCAAAGCCAATTGTTTCTTGTGCTCTGTTTTGCCGGCAACTACAGAAATGGACGAAAATATCAACACCTCTCTAAATCATTATTTGTTTTTAAGGCCAACCCACTTATGAAAATTCAGTTAGATTAACTCTAAATTAGAATTAATAGAAGTTTTCTTCTTTCCCATTCCCCTATTCTGTCACTTATTATGGTTGTCTTCTTCTGTGAGTGTCATGTGCTTGAACAAGTCAACAATCCCCTGTTAAAAAAAATACAAATCAAGTTATTAACAGAGAGGAAGCTCAAGAAGTAATCCACTTGGATGCTGAGGTTTATCTCTAATATAAAAGTCAACAGTTGCATCTGTAAGGAATCATAACAAACATATAATAATAATACTGCAACGATGCATGTATGTTTGATTTTCTTTCCTTGCCTTGGATTTCTCTCCCTTATTTTATCAGAAAAAAATGTTCTTATTTCTGGTGTTTTGCAAGTTTTTTATTTATTTCTGTGATCTAAAACTAAAACACAAAAATAGTGAGAAGAAAGAAGGAAATTATGGGGTCTTTTCTTGTCTTTTCTCCAGAGAGTTTGGAACATGGATTGGCTACCTAGATTCATTCTATAGGGTTCAAGAATTGCACTTTTTGAGAATCTGCCAAAGAAAGAAGCTTTTTTCTAGGAGAAATTTTACAATGCTATATAGTATTGGTGCTATAGGGTTTTGTCTTTATGGTATAATTTAAAATTGTACATTTACGTTATTGTACAACATCATATTGTACCTATACTTTTTGTACAAATTCTTTTATGGTACAATTTGAACTTGTACCTTTATGTGATGGTACAACTTCAAGTTGTAAAGTTGTACCATAACATAATGGTACAAATTGCTTTATGGTACAACCTAAACTTATACATTTAATGTTATGGTACAACTTTAATTTGTACATTAAAGCACCAATACTATATAGCACAGTAAAAGTGCTCTTTTTCTAGTGGGTACACTTTTTGGTGTTCTGGGCCACATCCCATCCCAAATGTTTCTTTTTAAATGGGTTGTGATAGTAATGAACCATTGTGACATTTTTGGCAGGTGGATGATGAGAAGCTAGCAAAGCAGAAAGCAATTGATGAGTGGCTTCCAATTACTGGCTCAAGGAATGCCAAATGGTGGTACTCTGCTTTCCACAATGTCACTGCCATGGTTGGAGCTGGTGTTCTCAGTCTCCCTTATGCCATGTCTGAGCTTGGATGGTATTCAATCATTTCTCCCAAACAAGCCCCCCTAGACTTGTTGTTTTTTTACCAAATGAATAGGACCGATTTGGGAAGAATTAAGAAGTTTAGTGATCGTTTTTGAAAATTAGCATGGCTCTTATTTCTTGTTTCTCTCTTCACCAGGGGTCCAGGAGTTGTAATCCTGGTGCTGTCATGGGTCATCACACTCTACACACTCTGGCAGATGGTGGAGATGCACGAGATGGTGCCCGGGAAGCGATTCGATCGATACCACGAGCTCGGCCAGCATGCCTTTGGAGAGAAGCTTGGCCTCTACATTGTTGTGCCACAGCAACTCATCTGCGAAGTTGGTGTCTGCATTGTGTACATGGTCACAGGAGGTAAATCACTCAAGAAGTTCCATGACACAGTCTGCCCAGACTGTAAGAACATCAAGGTTACCTTCTTCATCATGATTTTCGCCTCCGTCCACTTTGTCCTCTCCCATTTGCCAAACTTCAACTCCATCTCTGGTGTCTCCCTGGCTGCTGCTGTCATGTCACTGAGGTAAACAAAAATTTCCAAACCATCATCACGATTCTGATTTTACTCTTACGTTTTTCCATCTTATGATCCTGATTTCGATCTTTTCTCCCGTAGTTACTCCACCATTGCCTGGTCAGCATCATTGCATAAGGGTGTCCAGCCAGATGTTCAATATGGTTACAAGGCCAAGAGCACAACAGGAACAGTATTCAACTTCTTGAGTGCTTTGGGAGATGTTGCGTTTGCATATGCAGGGCACAATGTGGTGTTGGAGATTCAAGCAACGATTCCATCCACGCCAGAGAAGCCATCGAAGGGCCCCATGTGGAAAGGAGTGCTAGTTGCATACATTGTTGTGGCACTCTGCTACTTCCCAGTTGCCTTAATTGGATACTGGATGTATGGGAACTCGGTTCAGGACAACATCCTTATCTCCTTGGAGAAGCCTTCTTGGCTCATCGCCATGGCCAACATGTTTGTTGTCATCCATGTCATTGGTAGCTACCAGGTAAGACCAGAAAGAAACCAGTAATTCCTTTGTTGTTTGGGGTTGCTAAAGAATAAAATAAGCTAGTGACACCGAAGTTGAATAATCGTTCATGCAACTGACCCAACATTGTGTCTGACATGCTGATAAATGTCTTATGCTTTGATGCAGATCTATGCAATGCCTGTGTTTGACATGATGGAAACCTTGTTGGTCAAGAAACTTAACTTCACACCCAGCTGGATGCTTAGGTTCTGCGTTCGCAACTTCTATGTTGGTAAGTGAACTCAATAAAGCTCGAGGCTATCAATGAAAACAATCTGACCCACTTACAATGTGGATTTCTTGGAACTTATGAAAGCCAACTTGGTTGCTTCTTCTTGTGACAGCAATGACTATGTTCGTTGGTATCACCTTCCCCTTCTTTGGTGGCCTCCTCGGTTTCTTCGGAGGGTTTGCTTTTGCACCAACCACATACTTTGTAAGTGTCACAAAATTGGACAGAACAAGAGACAATGTTTTGAATCTTGGGTCACAAGCAATTTGATTCTGAACCTGCATGCTAAATGCAACGTTAACTGTTTGTTCTGTTCTGCCAGCTGCCTTGTGTAATGTGGCTAGCCATCTACAAGCCAAAGAAGTTCGGCTTATCTTGGTGGGCCAATTGGGTAAGGGATTAATGAAAAGATTCAGTCTTTAGATTGAAAATTCAAAAGGGTCCTCTTACATTGTTCTGTTCTTATAATTTCGTTCCACTCTAATTCCCTGTTCTTGGTCTTGCTGCAGGTCTGCATTGTGTTTGGAGTGTTGCTGATGGTCCTCTCACCAATTGGTGGGTTGAGGTCAATCATCATTCAAGCTAAGACCTACAAGTTCTATAATTGAAGCATTATATCGATCGATCGATAACACGAGAAACCCAGGGAAACATCATAGGTTGGGGGTGAAACGTTTGGGAGTATTGCACAGCAGCAAAGTAGTTGGGTTAAGGTGTTAAACAAACAAGAAAGAGTAGTTTGATGTGCAGTTTCGTTAATGTCTGATTTGTTTCCCCTTCTGTTTGTGGTTTGTTTATGAGAGATATGGTGGTGATGTAATGATGGGGGAGGGTTATAATATTGGGTTTTACAGAAGAAAACAGAAATCTGATGAGGTTTCTGAAACTGACCATTTACTACTTTACCATACAGTGTCTTGATTAATGAAAGTGAAAGCCATTTGATACAAGAGTGGAATTTGTCAAACACTTGCCCACCCTTTTTGGTTTAAGCTCTTTTGTCTTTCTTCCTCCGCAAATTCCCAACGCATAAAAAATATAGCATTTGGCTCTTTGCTTCGAAAATAGTATAAAATTCATCATAAAATATAAATAAGTACCGGTTTCAAAATGTAACCGAAGTAACTCGAGTACGTGCACTAGATCCCTAAGTTTATTATGGAACAAACATCCCATAGGATTGTTATCAAAGACAAAGAGGTAGATTAGATGACACAATAGTGAAAAATTTACCTCAGCTCCTTGACTCACTATTTTGGAGGAGTAAGACGATTTATTTGATTATGAAACATAAGTTTGAGAAAAATAAAAATTGGAACATATATGTAGGTTGTGGGTTTGTGTATATTACACCATAATGGATACAATAATTCGTTATTCAATATGTATTAATGAGTTTGTAAACTTTATATTTACAAATTCTTGGTTAACTTTTTATAAATTACACCGATCTATACGTGATAAACTAAGGTACATAAGTAGATATGACAACCTTATAAAACAAAAAAGATTTTTGATTGATGAAGTATGCTAGAGGAGAGGTGGTAGAATTTGGTTTGCAAACTATACATCATACTAAATTTTTAAGATTGTCAACGTACATGTAAAACATGATAGGATTAAGATAAATGGGGCATTTTTTAGTATGTTGGCAACATTATCCACGCTCAAGTCCAAGATCCAGCATCTATAGACTCCAGTTCCCTACACCCTTCAAACTATTTTTTCCAGATAACTTCTCAGTATTCTAGCTAATAATATCTTCTTGTTAATTTGTCAATATATTCTCTCGTGATTTCGGATATATCATGTAAACACGATAATTAGCTAGAATATATATTAGTCCGCTTGACTTTACTTACTACAGATGTATGTCAAAGTTCTCCACACCATTAATCTCATCTAATGTAATAATTACTAACCGCACTTATAATAACTTTTTACCATAATTACAGTATAAAAGTACTTTTTCCGGCCAACATAATTTGTTCTTTTAAGATACTATCTAATAAATTCGAACTTACAACCTCCAAGTTCTAGACTAGTGATATTAACACTAGTCCAAGCCATTGTTCGTCGTGCCAACATCTAAATTTTGTATAGATGGAAATTCTTTTCTCCATTAAAATGTGATTCATTGCTTGACAAAGTTTAATACGACATCATCGTCCGAACTCGCCCCTACCCCAATTTCACCATCGCCATCAAAACCCAGAAGCCATTAAAGAGATTGACCGCCACCACAAACGACAACACCATCATCATACGAACTCACCTTCCTCCAAATTTCACCGTCATCGTCAAAACCCAGAAACCATTGGGGTCTTTTCCACCAAAAAAAGCTGCTGCTGCTCCAGGAGACCAAAGCTAACTAGTTGCTCGTCGAACAACCGGCCTGTGAGGCTTTGGAGCTGTACGCAAGAAAAGTAGCATGTTAGTCACTCCTGCATAATGCACATGTCCCATGTTTAAACTTCATTCGATCTCTGCAGACTGCATATAGAATGCTGGGTAGAGAGATGTTACCACAAGTAGCACATCATCTCTTCACATAACAAAATGAACTGTTTTATGCGGCTTATTACCCTCTTTCTACTTCTAGTTGAATTCGATTTCATCAAGTGCCATTACATTTTCACATTGTCCCTTCACATAATTAGATTACTCTGTTTTATACTCTGATCCACAGCAAGGAAAGAGGGATACCATTAGGGTTTCCTTGCTCGTAGAAACTCCGGAAAAGAGCGACTGCTTCTGATGCCATTATTCCCCCGCTACATTTGAAACCTTTTCCTTCTTGTCTAACTTCCCCACTGTAGAATTTAAAGGGCACAAGTCCTAAGTGCAGTGAGAGAGACAAGAGTGTCCTAAATCATAACTGCAACAAACATTGCCTATTCATTTATAGCTAGGAAGAGGTAATGAAAATATATACTGTGCAACAAGTAAATGAACCAACCTTGTAAGTGATTGTGGGTTGACTGAATGCAACGACAATACTGATCCACACCCTCCAAATTTGTCATTGGCACATCCATAATATACTTCCTTCATACCTTGAGAAGAAAGAAGATGAGACTTGTGCTTTAGATATCAAGCTAAGGGTGAAAAAAAGAGTGGAAAGGAATGCCTTGGTGAGGGAGCATATAGGGTTACCAAGGATCGAGAGAGCTGCAGCACACATAATACAAGGTTCGCAAGTGACGTAAAGATTGCATTTTGAAAACTTCTCTGCGACTTCCAGTTTCGATAGTCCATTCTTTTGCCACCTCTCAAGAAGAAAGTCGATTGCTTCCATCTCTGCATGTCTCGTAGCCTGCCACAAAGAGCAACATACAACGGTTTGATAATTCACAATAGCATACTTCGTTCTAGGCAAGGATGAACCTGAGATGAACTTACATTTCTAGTCTCTGATGTTCTATTTCTTCCAGATGCAACAACTCTCCCATCTTTAACAATCACACAACTGCGATTCCCAAAGAAAATTTTACGTTTCATTTTAGTTTTTTCCTTTAGGATTCCAATATCAAATTAGCAGTAGCAGAATGCAGCTTACCCAACTGGCACTTCAAGCGAATCCAGTGCTTCTTTTGCCTGCAGTACGATGAAGATTAAAAAAATCATGGAGTGGCACGTATTCAATTAAACAAAAAGTTATCACACTCATTACAACATAAAGAGATAAGGCATAATGTCATCATGGGCCAAGAGCTGCAAGAGACAATGCTAAACTAGCATGTCAAATGGTGCCGAAAGTAAGAATAGAAATGAGGACTGTATATGTTCTTCAATCACTGCATACAAGGTTAATTACTTCTTGTCGACAACTTGGGTAGGGAAAACAGAGTAAATCTTCACTGTTTTCTCCAACTCTATTTTATTTTGTAAGCTAACTATAACAGGAATTACCTGATCCAGTGCAAGCTCCATGTAAGCGAGAGTTTCAGGTGAAATGCCTTGTCCAGTAGAAGAGCAATCCATTTCTGGTGTACAACTCGCCTGGCACACAAAGAAATCATGAAGCAGATGGAGCGATGCGAAACCTTAGGCAGGTCAGGGGAAAAAGCAGTTACGCTAAATGACTAGAGACATTATAACAGTTTATTTAATAATGGTGGGCCAAATTTATTACTCAAGGAAAGTAAACGCAGCAAAGGCTGCAGATAAACCAGTAAAGAAAACATAATTAGCATGCAGGGAAATCCAGCAGTCGTTATCACCGAGCTTCTGTATATACGGCTCTAATAGTTCTGGTTTCTTGTAACTTCTTATTCAATTCAGAACTCTTAAATTCTCGACTTAATGATGATGATGCTGATGATGCAGATGCAGTGGAATATGTGTGGAAGAAGTGGAGGCTGCTAGCAGCCTAAGTAAGCTTCTTATAGAAAGGAGTTCTTAAGGCTGAAAGTGATCATTATTAGCTTTTTTCTCTCTAAAATGGTGCGTTTCCACTTTCCAGTCATCTGTCATCTCTGTGAAATGTTAAGTAGAAGTTGAAAGTTGTGTGGCATTACATTAGGTGGCCAGCTAATTTACGGTTCAAATATACAGTGTTGTGTTGGTGCGCTCATACACGCATGTATGATGATTCCCTTGTTACTATTCTAGTAAAGCCTTCATCCCAGCTGCTATACACATTAGCTTCGTTAGTTTAGATGATGAATCTTTATATGGATTAGCTATTCGAGTGTTCTTTCTTCTCTCAGTTTTGAGTTAAAAACACAATCAGACGCAGTGGATCATAGACCTAAACTCTTTGCATTCTTCCGACCAAGTAATTAAGCAAGTAGCACCACTTTAACCAGCCTCTACACTTCCTTCTCTTTGTTTTACTTGCAATTAGAGTCAAGTCATTGCTAGCTAGCAAGCTATAACTTGGTACTCTTGCATGCTAGCTAGCTAGCTAGGAACTGTTAAATTGCAGAGGTATCTTCCAAATTTCCCACAAATTCTTGAAACCCATTCATTCATTCAGTCATACAATACAAGGATTGCCGATAAAGAGAAAATCACGCCGCAATTTCAAATAAATGAACGAAGTTGAAGATTTGACAAGTAGAAGAACTCACTTGAGCGCATGTAGTCTCTGTGCGCGGGGTAAATTGCCCAACCTGTCCGAGCTGCAATTGGAAGGGGATTTAGCAGCTTGTGGACGCCGGCTGGACTTGAGCTAACTTCAACCCAATCGACAGATCCTCCGCTTCTCAGTTTCTTTAGCGCGAAAATTGGCTTGGCGCGGTGGTGAGTTTTCCCGCGGCGCAGGGGATAATGATTAATGAAGGAGGGGGTTGAAAATGGGGAAAGGCCGAGATGAGCCGGGTCGGGGTTGATCCGCAATGTTAATGGGCCAAGTTAGATTGGATGCGGAAAAGTCGGGCTTAGAACTCTATTGACCTGGCCCAAACTTTATTTAGGCTTTCAATGGACTCCCGCTCCAAAGGGGCACGCGCAAATATATGATGATAGATTAGGAAGGGAATTGATGAACATATACATACATAGAAACAAAAATGTATCTTCTGCACTTAGAGCTGCGTCCTGCTTCATTCAGGATTCTGTAGGATCCCAACTAACAATCATATTTACTTTTTTTGTAACAATATTCCATGAATCGAGTTTTTTTTTTCTAACAAAACAATATTCTATGAATATATGGTTATGGTACATAATAATTAAATGTACCTAATCAAAGATAACTATGGACAGTAAAAAAGATAGAAGAAAGAGAGTGTAATTAATCTTTTTGTTCGCCATAAAAATCGAACCCTAGAACGCGTCAGTTAAAATTGAGAGGTTGAGATCCTGTTCTTTACCCTACAAATCAGTCTGGTTGGAGTGAGTATCTGGGAGAGATCCCCATTTAGCGCTGAGCTGGGTTTTGCTTCTTTTTTTACACATTTTCACCATTTCACCAGGACTTATCCATAGCCGAGAATCAGGGCATGGTAAGAGAAAAAAAAAGATAAGAAAAGGGAGAAAGTAAATCTGCCAGCATTTGAGATCATCTCACAATCGCAAATGGTAACTGCATAAACTACCCTCCTTTACCTAACAACACAGTAAAAAAAAAAAAAGTATATATAATCTTATAGAGATCAGCACAAGCCTCTTGGTCTTGGCACATTGTAACTTTGGTGGGAGTGGGAGGAAGGGAATGTCAAAGAGGAAAAGGCTTGTGGTAAAAAAATTCTTTTACTTGATCGTTGGCAGAAGGTCTCTCACTGCTATTTTGTAGCTGTATCATAAAAGAAAGTTACCACTCTCTACACGGTATCCTTTGTGCATACTATTACCTCGCCGTTAACCCTTGCCGGCCGGCGGTGAAAGGAAGAAGAAGAATCGTAATCATGGACACTCAGGCTCAGGCTCAGGCAGAACCTAAACCCGAAGAGGTCCCCAGCAATGAAGTAAGCATTGTATCCTACATATATATATATATACGTAGGACGAAAGCTCAGGTGGGTTGCCGGTTTGATCGTGTGATGACGATGATAATGTTTTATATATGTTGGCAGACGGAGGAGGAAAGGAAGAAGAAGATCGACGATTGGCTGCCCATCACCGGCTCCAGGAACGCCAAGTGGTGGTACGCTGCCTTCCACAATGTCACCGCCATGGTTGGAGCTGGGGTCCTCAGTCTGCCATATGCCATGTCTCACCTTGGATGGTACGTCTATAACAAGGTTTCTGAATCAATCATATCATATCGTTCGTAGTAGTAGTGCTCGAAATCGTTTGAATCGCTTGCGAGTTTGTTCACTCGGATCGATATTGTTTGATTTTGATATACCGTACGATTGTAGGTTTACATGAATTGATGATTTTTGTACAATTTTAATTTGATGTTAATTTTCCTTTTTTTGAACATAATTGATGATCATATTATCTAAGAAGTTCATAGTTTGTGTTTCAGTTTGATGATCTCTTAATTTGTTTATCATTGTAGTAAGCCCTGTTTTCCGATTCTACGTTACAAACCAATATACAATGTCACCCCCAACATGTAATTGGAAATCAAAATCTTGGACCTTTTATTCTTCTTTCTGGCAGGGGACCTGGAACAGTGATACTGGTGCTGTCATGGGTGATCACTCTGTACACACTATGGCAGATGGTGGAGATGCACGAGATGATTCCAGGGAAGCGACTCGATCGATACCACGAGCTCGGTCAGGCAGCCTTCGGCGAGAAGCTAGGTCTGTACATCGTCGTGCCACAGCAGCTCATATGCGAAGTAGGTGTAGACATAGTGTACATGGTGACAGGAGGAAAGTCGCTGCAGAAAATTTACAACCTGGCCTGCGGGGATTGCAAGAACATCAAGCTGACATACTTCATCATGATCTTTGCCTCCCCTCATTTTATCCTTGCTCACTGCCCCAACTTCAATTCCATCTCTGTAGTCTCACTTGCCGCGGCAGTGATGTCGTTGAGGTTGGTCCGTAAATTCATTCGGGTTCTCACATCACCTTTTGGTATCGTTACTTGATTCATTCTTTCTTTGCCACACAGCTACTCCACCATTGCCTGGGCAGCCTCCGCTGACAAGGGTCGTCAAGCAGAAGTATCGTATGCCCCGGTGGCCTCAACCCCCACTGGTGGCGTCTTCAACTTCTTGGGCGCTTTGGGAGAGGTAGCTTTCGCCTATGCTGGCCACAACGTCGTGCTCGAGATCCAAGCAACGATACCTTCCTCGCCTGAGAGGCCATCGAAAGTGCCCATGTGGAGAGGAGTCATTGTAGCTTACATCGTTGTTGCCCTCTGCTACTTCCCAGTCGCTCTGGTAGGGTACTACATTTTTGGAAACAAAGTCGAAGACAACATACTCATCTCCCTTGAGAAACCTGTTTGGCTTGTCATCATAGCAAATGCTTTCGTTGTCATCCACGTCATTGGCAGCTACCAGGTACACTGGTGATATATAGATAATCTCTTCCTCACATCACATGGCAGAAAGAAACAGTTACTTTCACCAACCCACTATTCAACTCGTTTCACCCATTACTGTCGTCGTTTTTTACCTTTCTTCTTTCCCCGTTGTAGTTGTTTGCAATGCCTGTCTTCGACATGATGGAGAGTACCCTGGTGAAGAAGCTGAACTTCAAGCCATCCTTCAAGCTTCGATTCATTACTCGTACCGTCTATGTTGGTAAGCTAGTGAACATCTTTCACACTCTCAAATCAGGGGCATTTATATTCGATTCTGGAGTTTCTAATGGTGAACTTACTTGCTTCACTTTTTTTCAGCACTCACAATGTTTATCGGCATCACCTTCCCTTTCTTTGGTGCGTTGCTTAGTTTCTTCGGAGGATTCGCTTTTGCCCCAACAACATACTTCGTAAGCTTTCAACCTTCCTTCGTGTACCTTTCTCCCTCTTATCTTATGTCGGATAATAACTGATCGCCGTTCTTTTTTGTTCTCTCTTGGCAGCTCCCTTGCATTATATGGCTTGCCATCTACAAGCCAAAGAAGTTCAGTCTGTCATGGTTCGCCAACTGGGTAAAAAAATCAATACTGATCAGCCTTTCCTAATCTCAGTTTTCCTAAGCATAGATTATTCACCAAAAACCGTTCTTGTTTCCCTGTCTGCAGATTTGTATCACACTTGGGCTAATGCTTATGATTCTGGGGCCAATTGGAGGATTAAGAAACATCATCGTGCATGCCAAAGAATTCAAGTTCTATAATTAGTTGAGAAACAACAGTTGCAGTAGAGAAGGAAATCAAAGCGACAATGATGAAAAATGAAGCCAAGATTCCACAAACTGTCTTTCTTAGAGCCATGTTATTCTATGTTAGGATGTTTATTAGATTATAGACTTTATTTTGTGTGATTGCCAGAGTAGGAGTTTCGGAATACAGAACCTGTTTGTTTATCACCTCTGTTTATCGCTTGGTATTCTTCTGCACTTTTTTTTTCCCCCTACTGTGAACAGTACCTTCTTATGCAATAGCAAAGCAACGTAGTTGGGAGTCCATTTCTTAACTGATGATTAGTTATCCACTCGTCCTCCCATGACGAATGCACATACTCAAGCTCAGGCAATACTCCTCTGATATTGTATTGAAACTTGAAAGACTGCATTACACAAACTCGTAGCCAGCCATAGTATACAGGACGGACATAAAGTTGGATGATGCCAAGTACACGAAAGGAACTAAGGAACACGACCAATGTTTAGCACAAATAGAAAACTTTAATGCTTCCCTGAGATATAAATGGTGTAAGGACATAGCACAGGCATTCGCTTTTGAAGCAAGTTGTAAAGATGCGTCATTTATGGCATCCAATATAGTAAAACATCATGCAACTTCTCAGTGAAATGGCCATGGATAGTTGGATACCGATTTTATGTTTTTAACCTGGGCTGTACAAACTAGAAAGTGAAACTCTAGAAAAGATGGTCTAGAACATGCAAAGGCAATGAACAACCCCAGCACAGTTATTCTCTTCAGTTTGATAGCAAAGGCAACAACGAAATGAACAACCCCAGCACAGTTTTTATGGGATTATATAAACCAAGACAGCTTCCAAGCAGCCTCCTAGCTGACACTGAATCCTCCATTCACAAATACCTCCTAGGTCACATCAACGATCTGCACGAGGAATGAAGTTATATGGTGTATGGCCTCAGCACTTTGCACAAAAAAGTGCAGACTTTCTGAAGCTTCATCAATCACGGAATGACTAAAGATGCCCCCATCTCAATCAAACTCGGCCGTGACAAAATACAGCACAACCAAGAACTACACTTGAGAGAGCTTCCATACTCATTGCACAAGACGTTAAAGCTAAAGAGATGGACAAACCAAATCACAGAAGAAGACACTGGAAAAGATGGGACACATAAGAATTCCCACTTCAGACAACTGATAAAACCGAGAGAGGGAAAGGAATATCGCATCTTATATCACCATATCCAATTGAGAATGCACATGAAGAAAGCAGTGGAGAAGCTTCAATTTCAATCCCAAATGGTTTTACACAATTGAGAAATTCTCTCTTCTACTTCCTACTCTCGACATTATGTAATCCAAAAACAAAGCAAAAGACTCCATTTTTACGTTTTTCCACATCTATGTTCTTCTTCTTCTACCTGTCTTTCTTCTTCTCCAATCTACCATCCAACTTCCTTTCTCTGTACAAGTCCACCCACAAGTTGGTAATCCACAAGATACTAACAGAGATGGCGCCAATCACAACCACCATCCAGGAAACCCAAACCCACCTGGGGACAACACCATCTGCCACCCCACTCCAATAAAACTCCCCCATCTTATACATAAACACCGGCCCCAGAACCCCACGGACGACCGAGTAGAACGCATAGAACGGCGGGGACAACAAACGATACACCCTCGCGGCGAGCTTGGAATCTCCCTTCCTCACCCCGGCCAACGTCCACACGTTCTGGCAGAAGCTGGTGACCTCAGCGAGGACCAAGAGGGTCAGTATCGCGAAGGCGCCGTGGCCGACGAGGTACCGACATGTCAGAAACACAAATAGAGTAGCCAAGTGGTGCCCGATGAAGAGCGCATCGCCAGGCGAGAAGAAGAACACGTAGTGGAGCAAATCGACGAAGAAATATGCAACGCTGAAATCAAGAACGGCGGATTGAAAGGGGGTATTGGTGGCTGAGAATCCGCGATCGGAGTCGGAGTAAATTGCGAAGGAGGCAATGAACACGGCAGGGGTGCCGTGAAACAAAGAGATCAGGCAGCTGGAAGCCTCGGAGCGGGCACCCGACGGCCAGTGACGGAAGACCAACGAGTAGCCGAGTATGTAGATGACGAGGAAGAAGGCGAAGGCGACTGGTAGCGCTGCCGCCACGGCGGTGGGTGAGGAGGATGGCGGAATTAGGGTTTGGAGCATCTGCATTGCTTCACGGGAGGGGTAGAAAATTAGGGAAATTGATGAGTGGAGGGAAAATTGAAGGAAAGTGGCGTCATCATCGGTTGAGGATTATATATGAATCTGGTGGCTTTGAATATTTTTTTGCTATTCTCGAGGAGAGGACTTGTCAATGGCTTGTACTACTTCTTTATTCCATTACCTGCTAATAAGCAACAATGGAGTTGGTTGGTTGGTCATTAATGGTTACTTACTAGTAACTAATCTCATTGCTAATTGTGACTCCTCTTTTTCTATGAGTTAGTGAGTATTGGTCCATCTGCTATAGTGTTATAGGTATAATATGCCCTTCTACTATGACGGTTTATCAAACGTGTCCATCTACTATTTTTTACATCAAACATGCCCCTATACTTTGACAAAATTATCAAACATGCCCTTATGCTAAAATTCCGTTGAAAAAATCGTCAATCATGGTTGAACCGAGATTTAGACGACCCACATTGGCATGCAGGAGGGAAAATATCAGTTTTGTCCCCCGTTTTATTTCTCTGGATCTCTTCAAAGTGAAATTATTTGAATTATTTGGCTATACAAAAGAACCAAAAAAAAATTCTAAAGTGAAATTATTAGGGATATTTTAGACATCTGTGTCGTCCAAACCAAAGTTCGGCGTTGATTAATTGTTTTTGGATGAAAATTTTAACAAAAGTGCACGTTTGATAATTTTTACAAAGTACAGGGGCATGTTTAATGTAAAAAATAGTAAAGGGGCATGTTTGATAAAACATCATAGTAGAGAGGCATATTATACCTATATAATTTTTACAAAACATCTAGTAAGAATTTTCAACATTTCGAGTTTTTGTGTTGTGTTCTTTAGGTTTTATGAAACAAGGTTTATGTAGTACAATAGACCTCATTAATTTTAACACTTAACACGTAGTGGGGATTCGAACTTCAAGGATCCTTTAGGATTCCACAAACTTGGAACACAACAATCCAACTCGAGCCTCCTTTAGAACAATGTCAGGACTCGTCGAGCATTCATTGCGATTTTGTAACAGCAGCTATTGTTCGATCTGAGAATTCGAGATCTGGTTACTCTCAATGGGTAATCACAATCCTAACAGAAAAGAAAAAGGCTATTATCCGAACTTTCTGGTTACTGTTGGCAAGGTTTACTTTTGCTTCAGACTTCAGTCAGTAATTAGTAATTACCTTGATTGAAGATAATAGCTGCTTGCTTCTGCTATTGCCGCATAACAAAAAAGGAAAAAACATTTCTATTGAACCAAACACTACGAAATTACTTTTTACATAGAAATTCACTCTCCGCCTAACTCTTATATAACAAAACCACCAAGTCATTCTCTCCGATACACTGCAAGTCTCCAGTCCAATAGACACAGCTCGACAATACAAAGCAAAGGGTGTATGCAAGCAATGTTCTTTCCTCCATCATCGTACCATCCTTTCCAAAGCATCTCTTCTTCAGGCTGTGGATTTAACTTAAAGAGCAACGATGCTTCTCCAAAAGCTTAAGGCAAAACTTCATTATATATACATCCATGGAGAGCACGAACCGAACTGTACTTCTGCAACCATCTGAGTGAGTCCTTCCTTCCACGTCTGAGGGGTAGCAGCCAGATTCACCCTGCAATGTAACTCTACTCTCACGGACAAGTTGACTGCTATACTTGGCTCACAGTTACAGATCTCTCACAGCTGAAGCAGATGCAAAGTGTCCAGCATTTTCTATTCTCTTTCTCTTTTTTTTTTTTTTTTCATTTTTGTTTCTGACATAGATATCCACTAAATTAGTCCATCCTTTGAAGGCCTAATCTATTTCTCCCTCTTCTGGCTCCACATCATTCATTTCCTGTGGAACGATCAAAGGCTCGCCTTCTTCCTCCACTTCGTTGTCCTTCCTAAACAATCCAAGCTGCTCCAATGGATTGCTATCCCCACCAAACTTGAAACTTTCCTGTGGAACTCTCAGAGGCTCGCCTTCTTCCTCCTCTTCATCGTCCTTCCTAAACAAGCCAAGCTGTTCCAAAGGATTGCTGTCCCCACCAAACTTGAAACCACCCAACCCATCCGGAGAGTTATCTGGGCTCACTTCGTCCACAGAGCTTGGTACCTGCTCGGCAGGGGCACTTCTAAGCATCTCTAGGTCTTCAAGGAACTTGGAGTTCTCGTTGATTTCAACAGTTCTCTCAACCTGCAGAAAACACAGCGCAGCACCCTTCATTAGTACTCTCTGAAATTATCATGAGGCTCTTGCAGAGATCTGGCACATCCTTACCTTGAGCAGCGCCTGACGTGCTGCTTCTCTTTCAACCTCCAACAGCCGTCTGGCCTCGGCTGCTGCAGCTGCCTCGGCTTGCTTCCGTGCATCTTCGGCAGCCTTTGCTTCAGCTTGTAACCTCGCTTTCTCTGGAACTCCAACATTCCATATGTCATCCAAAAAATTATTAACCAACAATGTATAACCAATAGCTTTATTGACTACAGAAACAAATATCAAAGATCGAACGCAGGAACCTTTCTTTTTCTGCAACTCTAGTTTCTCCCTTTCCTTCTGCAGCTTGTCTGGATCCACCTTGTCGACCTGATACCAACAACATAGAGATGGAGACCATAAGCATGAGTAACAGCAACTTAAATACTTGATAAGATTATAATAAGCCAATAAAGTGTTCTTACCTGTAAGAGGGTCTTCTCTTCTCTAGCTTTCAGTATCATGTCAGAGAAACGGTTTCTGATCATAGCCGCCCTATAATCCTTATGAGGGAACTCCTGACTCCCACTAGGGGCACTTTCTCCTGTGACAATTATGGAACTCATCAGTTTTATACAACCTGCAATATAACATCCAAGCTATCTCCTCTTCCACACCCTCATCCTTACCATCTTGATGACCATCCGAATAATCTGACCCAGGCTTTTCTTCAGAGTTCTCTTCCAGCTGATCTAACCCACTGTCAGATTCTGTTAAACAGGTTTCTATCAGAGAAAATTCCAATAGGGGGCAATACCACCTCAACAAATCACAAAAGGATCCTTCCACAATTGACCATAGAAACAGATGAGACAGTAACTTCGTTACAAAAGGCTTCAATAAATAGTTAAATACCCATGGACCACCTGTTTCAGAAACCTGCAAATGACCTAGACCTATTCGCATCCAACTAATTCCAAACGAAATTCTTGATTAGCCTGATCCGAATCAAGCTTCCAGGCACAAGAACCCATTCAATTATTCCAAACAGAGGACTCACGATTTCTATCCAGGGGATGATCACCAATTTTCTTCTCATCAGCTTGACCTCCAAGAACCATATCATCCGGAACCTAGTAAATAGGAATCAAGTTCGGCAGGAATTAAAACCTCGCCAGACATCATTTCGAAGTTCTGTAAAAGCCACCAAAGCTACGGTGCACACCCTTTTGTTCTCATTTAAACAAACCGACCATGAAGAAGTTCCAAATAGTTGCCAACCTTAGACACAGGTGATCGACTTGAAGGTTTCACGTGATCAGATTCAACTTCAGAAGAACCGCCAGAATCTGAGTATGAAGAGAGGGAGGGGAAATAAATTAGTAAGATATATAAAGAGCCTGATAAAATTACAAGAAGCGGAAATAACTCTCTCTGGTTGTATAATAGCTAAACAGCGAAGCAGGCTACACACCAAAATAAAGAAGACCTTTACTACCTAATCTTGCAACAAGCTCAGCAAAACACTATTTTCAAGTGATAACAAATAGAATCATACTCCAGATCAAACAAACAAAAGAGCTGTATAACTTACCCCTAGAGCTCCCTGAACTCATAACTCTGCTGCTCTCACGGCCTGTATCACTCGCTATCTCCACAGTAGGATAGCTAGACACAGGAGGCTCATTCTCACCAATATCAACATCTTCATCTGCTAGGTCGTTACCTAATACATGAACACCACCATCAAGAAAGTTCATAGCAAAGTCCAATCAATAAGATAATAGGAATGGAAATATACCTCTTTGCTGTTGCAAGGATGAATTGCTTGGGCCTGAGACATTCAATAGCTAGAAAAAAGGAAGACAAATAAGATTATGCTATATCAAAGACAACGGTACACTATTACAACAAAATAATCAATGTGTAGAGTACCTCAATTTCGGAAGGCTCCACTCTAGCTTGCTTCTCTGTCTTCTCTTTAGAATGATTATCTAAGAGTTTCCTCAGAGCGAGTAATGTGTCATCGCTGAGTTTATCAATGTCTATCTCTATTTCATCTAAGCCAGCATCTTGTCCACCATTGCTGTGCTCTCTCAAGAAATCAATGATATGCATAGGCATTTCAGGCAACAATGACTCAAGCTCTGAGCCCAATTTGGCTATCTCATCCGCGGAAACTAACCGCTCCACAGGTTCCACAATAGCTTCATGCTTGGATGGGCTTAGTTTTCTCTTCTTAATAGATTGCATTTGAGCAGCATCGAAATCATTGCGATGAGCTGAATTTTCTGGCTGAGGTTTGGGCACCTTCTTCGGCAACTTTCTCTCAATGGCTTTCCATCTCACTTCAAAAAACTTTTTAAGGCTCTCAGCCATGAGATGAACATCGTTCCCCTTTGGATTGTACAGCATAGCATTACTGAATGTCAGCCTGACATCTTCGGCGAATTCCAATGGGCTTGAGTACAAGCCTGACATAATTCTGCTCTTAATTGTTCCCAAGTCCATAGGATGCTTGACAATAGTGAAGTAATCAGGGATGTTCAACTTGACAACATCCACAGGAGTATTGAAGACATAACCAAACTGATGAGACATCAAACGTTGCAACAAATTCTCACACTGTTTGATCAAGATTAAGTTTCCAGGATTTTGTGTTGCATGTGCTTTCACAGGCTGTGGCTTCAGCTTTCCCATGGCACTTCCCTTATTCCCCGCTCCAGAAGAAACAATTGAGGAATTCTTGGAATTTCCTGCTACAGCCCCATTTGGTCTACTGGTACCATTCACAACACGGTTAGATGAAGAGACATTTCCAACACCTCTCTCCACTACAATGTTCTTCTGGACATCCCGAATGAGTTCAAGCTCAGATCTCAATCTTCGGATCATATCTCTTCTTTCCAATGGAGACATTTGGGCAGGAGACAGGACTTGTGTAGGGACCCCAAAAGTATCCCTTTTACTGGAATTCAGATTCAAGAATTTCCTAACTGGAGCACTAGAATTTGCAGATGCAGTAATCTCCATATCAATTTGTCCAGAACTTGCTGATCTCTCAAAAGCACCAGCTGCCCCAAATGAGCTGCTGCGGTAGTAAGCACCACGGAAATTTTCACTTTTCCCCATCCTATCCACTCGACAAATGCCTTCTGCATGAATAAGTCATGTGTAATAAAGGGTATCCTCAGGTTCACTCAATTAAAAGGTTCCATTTCATAAGACCAAAGTCGAAAAATTCGTTCTTACAAGTAAAAGCACATTGGAAAATATAGAAGGAACAAAACCAGTTTCCTCCCCGATAAAAATCATTATGAACACTTAAAATTTGAAACGCTACACAAGAGAAAAACAAAACAAAAGAATCAGGACACCACAAGTACCAATTTTGAGAAATAACAGGCGAATCCATGAAGAAAATCGACCTAGAAGAAGAGGGCAATAAGCTTCAAATCAACGAAAACCTTTGAAAAGCTTGAATGTGAATTTGAGCAGTAAAGTGAATTCGAGCAGTAAAATTCACCGGAAAAGCGCAAAAGGGAGAGAAAGCAAACCCCTTTATAAGCTTTCAGCGAAGAGGAACCAATAGCTCGAATTCAACCAACGAGAACCAAAATTCAATTACCAGAAACTGTCTCTTGCTCTACTTATATTCCCTCCCAACTCAAAACCTCCACCGCTAGAGCCAAGCTTCGAGTTCCAACTTCAACAAAGGATCACGTCCCAGCCAAATCGAACCCTAAATCCTCTCACCCCTTCTGAAAACCAAGAACACGAAACCCTAAATCGAAAAGGCGCAGCCGCCGAACCAGCGAACCACACCAACCCCGGCGAGCTGGCTCCAATACAATTCGGCTCCTCGTCGACCGAGCAGCAGCAGCAGCTGAGGAAGCGGCGGCGGCCCACACTCCACACAGTATCGAATCGAAGAACCCTAGCGAACGGCAAGAGCGACGCGACGCGCTATTGGAAGAGAGAAGAGAGAGAAAGTCGAATTTATGACTTCCCAATTTGACAAAATTGGAAAAGAGAAACAATTTTGCCACCGACTCCTTATTTATACGAGGACTCCACGCATGAATGCGGGCCGTTGGATGTTTAATCCGTGTGATCTAACGGGTGAAGAGTAGTTCCGATATCAGCCGTCGGATTTCGCGACCGGCGGTTTTTATGGTGGGGATGCGAATCTGGTATGGTTGAAATCTGTTTTTAATTGTTTTATTATTAAGTAATTAATAAGTATGCTAATCTAGTGTCATTTGTTTTGGCTGGTCAATCATTTAATCAATTAATAATTATGCAGTTAATATGGAAACTAAATAGGAGAAAAGAACATTGCAGTTAATAATTTAGTATTGTGGCTTGTTTTTGTTTTTGTTTTCTGTTGTGTTTTTAGAAATTGTGAAATCCGAGAAAAAAATCATGTTTAGTTGGGTTTTTTATTTTTGTTGTGAAACAGATTCATACAACCAGGCCCAAATTAAAGAAACCACATTTTATAGCTTCGGATCTGTTTTCAATACCTGTTTAAAACAGCCCACCGTTCGAATTCTACCTACTACTAAAATCTTGTTCTTTTTTTTCAATCCCAAACCCTACTCCACCGCCGCACCAGCATCTTCTTCTTCCTCTCGCGGGGCTGGCGTGCTCCCTTTCCGGCCGGTCGCCACCACCATCTTCTTTCTCCTCCCCCGCGCCGTCAAGCTCTCACCCGACGTAGCTCAATCCTGCCCCTCTACGTCGTCTCGTTCTCTCGTGTTCCCGCCCCCGCTGTAGATCTCTCTCATCTTCCCGTGGGTTAAAGAGTTCTTCAGCATGATGTATCATACATAATGGGATGAATGCAATTAGGGATGGCAATGTGTCGGGTTGGGTCGGGTTTTTCCAAACCCAAACCCATGGGTTTATCCGTGAAAAAAACCCGGGGTAAAATCCACTGGGTTTAAAAAACTCACACCCAACCCAACTCGCTGGGTATCCGTGGGTTCATGGGTACCCACGGGTTTTTTCGTAAAAAATTTACAATAACAAGTTCCTATCAAAATTAAAGTCAAATATCAATCTCTCAATACAAACTATCCATATATAAAACACCATTCTAGAAAATTCAAGCAAATCACAAATTAACTATACAAATTGTTCAACACTAATCTAGAAAACTCAAGAAAATTGAAGAAAATCACAAATTATCCATAAATAACATGATTAACTGAAAGCTTCTTCCTTTCAATTAAATTTCTTCACTCTCCACTCGATAACATCAACTTCATTCTACACAATTTGAAAGAAAAAATTAGACATGTCTCCACAAACATAAATAAGATTACTGTTTAGAATATTAAATATACCGAGAAAATTAACTATATGGGTGTGAGCGGGTACCCATGGGTCGGGTTTACCTAAACCCAAATCCAACCCAACCCGATGAATAGTGAACGGGTTTAAACCCAAACCCGACCCAAAACCCGTCAACACGGATTTTACCCGCGTTGACCGGGTTGGGTCGGGTGGGTACCCATGGGTTCGGGTTTTGTTGCCATCCCTAAATGCAATAGTTATAACTCTTTATCCGATAATTCCTACAACGGCTAAAATGACAGAATTGATGCCCATTGCATACATCAATGTTTTGTATAAAATTATAGCGAAGATCATGGCAAGCAGGTTGCAAACTGTCTTGCCTAAGCTTATCAAAAAACCCATCTGCTTTCATAAAAGGGAGGAGCATCATAGACAACATTCTGATGGCTCAGGATGATAAGCCCTAAACCACGAGACTTGCTAATCAGAGTTACGCAAAGCCACAAATCCTCAAGACTTGCTCAATTAAAATGGGTTAAAGCTAAAACAAAGGAAGAATGATGGAGTTGGAAGGTGCAACTTCAACACCAGTTCTGGGAAAGAGGCTCGAACCAAATAAAGTCGAAACTCGACCACGATTGAGGTGGTACAATCGATACTGAGCTCGCTTGTCACTGGAATCAATCCATGCAACAAGGTCAATTCAAGAGCTAGAAAACTCCATAAATAAAGGCTCTTTCGATTAAACTTGAATGAATACAACATGAGTCTCTAAGCTTTAAATAGACAAACTAAAACCTAATTCAACTACAAATAAAACAAGGAAAACATAAGTAAACCAAACTACAAACAAGCTAAGAATCCATTTGGAAAAGGAATCAGAATTTGACACTTGCTAAGCAAGTCTCTGCCTTCCTGCGCAAGCAACACAATCATCCTTTATAACTACTTTGACCTTCTCGAAAGTGGTATTCTGAATTGATCCAAACTCACCTAATTCCTTCACGTGGTTTAGAAAGTTTCATACTTTCATTTCCAACTCTCATCTGCCTTCGATTGTACTCCAATCTCCACGAATAAGATTCCAAAGGTGGTACCACAAACATTGTTTCTACCTTAGCCAAAATCACGCAGTTTTCCTGTTTCTTCATAGCAAGTCTGAAGCTTTGGAAAATAATCTTAATGGCTTGTTTCTGGTCAACCAGGCCTTCAATCTTGTACAGTAACACTTGATCTTCAATCCCAAGCCTCCCAATTGACACTTCATCGAAGAATTTATGAGAACCACCCTTGCAAAGTAAGCATCCTGCACACGAACAAACACTTAGCCAAAATTGATGGTTCTTCTTGCTAATTGAGCTAGCTTCTTTGTAAACAATTGTGGCTTGTCGAGTTGGCCAAAATGGATCACATCACAGGAGGTGGTCCATTACAACATGAAAAATATCACACCTAGATGTGTTGTCTAGGTCGACCTAATAAAGGCCTTTGACTCTGTATATTGGGGTTTTCTTCTTGCAATGACAAAATAAAATTTCATATGAAGTTCATTGATTGGATAAGAACATGTCTGGAATCAGCTCACTTTAGCATCACATTCCAAGGAAGTCTATTTTGTTACTTCAAATCAAAGAAAGGGGTAAGGCAGGGTGACCCGTTGTCCCCTTACCTCTTTACTTAAGCAATGAATGTTATCTCTTCCATGTTGGACAGGGCAGCGCTAAATAAACCAATATAATTTCATCCTACGTGTAAAGCAGTGAATTTGACTTAGCTATGCTTTGCTGACGATCTACTCATCTTTTTTGAGGAATCAGCTGCAGCTCTAGCAGGTATAAGGGATGTATTAGATGGATTCTACAAGCTCTCCAGACTTCGCAGCAACCTAGCAATGTGTGAAGTCTTCTTTGGGGGGTGTAAGGGTTGAGGAAAGGCAAAGTCTGCTGGGAAATTCAGGATTCAATGAAGGCAGCCTGCCAGTTAGGTACTTAGGGATACCTTTACAAGCAGGGTCGCTATCTAGTGTTGACTGCAACATGCCAGTGGATCAGATCACTAAGAGAGTCATATCCTAGAGAGCCAGCAAACTCATGTATGTAAGGAAGCTCCAACTCCTTACATTTGTTCTGCTTTCAGCCACACAGTACTGGATGACAATGTATGTGCTGTCAAACCAAGTACTGAGCAGTATTCACAAGATCTGCTCAGATTTTCTTTGGCATGGTGAAGGGGAAGGAAAGGCAAAGGTCATATGTGAGCTACTTGCATTGCCAAAGGCGGAATGAGGGTAAGGGATAAGAGATCTGCATACGTGGAATGTTGCATGTGCAGCTAGAATTATCAGGATGTTGATGGTACAGGGAAGCTCCTTTTGGGTTGCATGGATTGAAAAGTATCGACTTAAAGTGAAATCTAATGTGGCTAAGTGAATGGAACAATATGCTGATCCAGGTATGTGGGTTAATGGATGAGGATGGTGTGGACAGTAAAGTCTTATGAGGTATATGGTGTTGGTGCATTGCTTGTATTTGGAGAGAATGTTCTTGTAGGATGTTTCAATCTGGAATGAAGACTGAGCAGAACTGATAAAGAATCTGAAACTGGAGATACGATGTTATGGACTTGGCAATGAAGAATTCTTGAACTTGTTTTTTTGCTTCTAGTTTCTACAGATTAGCATATTATGCATTCATGAGTTGTTAGCCCAGTGTATTAAGGTAGAAAAGTATGCAGGGGTCTGTTGGGGGCCAACCTGTGTAGCTAGTCATTGACAGTTGTATTTTGAGAAAACGTGATTGCATTTAACTAAGTTGAGCAATAAAATGGATACAACAATTACCCAAAAAAATGACAAAAGTGCTTAAAAGAGTGCAAATCATTTTTCTCTCCAATCACCCAATTTTGTCCAAGCCCTGCTAGCTAGTTTTACCGACTATTTTGAACTATGATGATTGTAGAAGGGGGGCTAAAGTTTTACCAACTATTCAATTTTTAAAATTTGTTACGAATTTTACAAGAAATTTTGCTTCTATTACAAATTTTAGGGGGGCTATAGCCCCTTCTGTCCTACAATCTAACTCATCCACATTACGAAATATAGTGATGTAACTAACAGTCTTCCAGTAGAGCGCCCAAGGCCAAGGGATTATGATTAAATTTTGAAGCTTGACCATGAAAATTTTAATCTAGTTTTGGGTTCAAAGAAAAAGGGTATGTTGGGCCTTTGTTATCTAGGTTTTGGGCTTACATGTCCACCAAGTATTGGACCTGAAAACGCACCATTGGGCCGACCACTAATGTCAATGATGGGCTTCACATAGGATGTTGGCAGAATGCCAACGTTGGGCTTTTTTATGCCAACGATCCCACAGAGCCTTAGTAGTTAGGGATGATAACAAAACACAAACCCACGGAAACATAAATGAAAGTAAACAGGCCCTACACGATCCAACCCGGTTAACGCGGGTAAAATCCGTGTTGACGGATTTTGGGCCAGGTTTGGGTTTAAACCCATTCACTATTCACCGGGTTGGGTTGGGTTTGGGTTAGGTAAACCTGCCCCATGGGTACCCGCCCACACCCATATAATTAATTTTCTTGGTATATTTAATATACTAAACAACTAATATTCTTTATGTTTGTGGAAACATGTCTAAATTTTTCTCTAATTGTGAAGAATGAAGTTGATATTATCGAGTGAAAAGTGAAGAAGCTTAATTGACAAGGAGTAAAATGTTTTCAATTGATCATGTTGTTTATGGATAATTTGTGAATTGCTTCAATTTTCTTGAGTTTTCTAGATTGATGTTGAACAATTTGTATGGCTAATTTGTGATTTACTTGAATTTTCTAGAATGGTGTTTTATACATATTGAGAGATTGATATTTGACTTTTATTTTGATAGGAACATTTTATTGTAATTTTTTTACGACAAAAAGTCATGGGTACCCATGAACCCGCGGATACCCAGCGGGTTGGGTTGGGTTTGAGTTTTTCAAACCCAATGGCTCTTACCCGGGTTTTTTTTACGGATAAACCCATGAATTTGGGTTTGGGTTTTAAAACCCGACCTATTGCCATACCTTTGAGTAGTTGTATCTGCTGCTAGATGTAGGCTTTGTGATGTTAGACCTTCATGAAACTATTTAATCTTGAAATATAGTCTTTTCCTAATAAATAATTTGAAGCCTATAAGTTCTATTTTGCGTTGTCCATTAATTATGAACTAGAAATAATATAAAGTTTATAACTTTAGCATTCTAGAATTATTCAAGTTATTGATATGAAATAGTTATCAACATACTACTGAATATTATGAACAACAATCTCGTATTTTAGTACTCATGAGTCACGACTAAAATATTGATAATTAAGTTAATTGAAGGAAACGGAGAATCATAGATAGTAAAATCGTCAAACATTTGATTCTATTGAGTTTTTGAATTTGACTTATGAATATGTTTTATTTACATTCATGGTTTTATCATTTTACAATAAAAATTAATTAATAAAGACAGAAGAAACACATAGATAAAAGCGTTAAAGTTGTGATTTTAAAGTACATTGGTGAATTAATCATTTTTATTGCAATATTGATAGCGAGTAAATACTACTGAATCATTCCCGAGAAACCAACGAAATTAATGGCTCTTCTACAGAACCCTTAGTAGCCCCATCATAATACATGGAGTTGTATCCTAAACTATTTACGAAAGTCTGATACTAATATCAATAAATAATTAAATTCGTAACTAGTTGTCCATCGACCATTGATACCTCGTCTTTTATGGATTTCAGTACACATCTAAGTCATACATATGCATTATCAACCAAAAGTTTTATAGTCAAACGGTACCATGTCAACTACCAACAAGCTCGATATCGTTAATAACATGAGAAATAATTTCGACTCCGAACGAATTATCAGCTCATTTCCCTCTTTTTAGGGATTATTTGGAAGTTGTGATTATTTGTGTTTGTTAAATATATCTATTGTGCACAATACAATGTTTGGAAGTGCCATAGTGTAAAACAATGCATGCATTGTTTTAGGTAGGTCTCACCGACAATCACAAAAAATGATGCATTATACAATCTCAACTAAAAGTTGTGATTGTTGCTTTTAGATTAGTGTCAACTTTTTCTTTCTATTTATATCCCTAATAGTTTTTGTCTTATACTAAAAGTTGAGGGTAAATATAACATTTTCCCATAAAAGTAACTTTATGTAAATCAATGCATAAAGTAGAATCTCAACAACCAAACAATGTATTGTTAAAATGCATCCATTGTATCAATACATGCATTTATATTATGATGATTCATTACAATGCAATGATTTAACATTCGCAACTTCCAAACGACTCTTACTGTAATCGTATAGAATAGAAAGTAGCTAGAAGGATATAAAAAACCCAAAAACATTCCGTACTAACATGACACCTACAAATGAACTCATGAGCATTTAGGAGTCCGGAGCATCTCTAAATTTGTGCATATTTTACAAATCTCCGAATTGTAGTTTTTATGTTTCAAGCTAGAGATCTTCAAACTAATACCACCCAAAAAAGTAAATTTTGATTACTTTAAAAATAATAAATACACCCATACACTAAAATAACATCCAATTTAACCATATTTTACTCAATTTTTTCATCCACGCCAAAATACAAAACCTAATAACTATTTGACTCTCCTCCCCGAACTTCTTTTACTCTTTCTATACGAGTAACCGACTCGTGTTTAAAGTAACCAACTTGTGTTAAATGAACCCTGTGACGGATCCAGGGAGAGATCTCCTCAGAGCCGAGCTCAGTACTCCTCTATGTCCAGAGCTAGTATTGTACTTGTAAAATTTGCAATTTTAGGTATTCGATTTTAGTGATAGTTGGTTTACGATCCAGTCCTATCCGCCTCTTTCCAAATGTAATGCAGTGTTTTACTATGTTGTGGATCTGTCGCTGATTAAACGCACGCTAAAGCTAATGAATGTATTCTTTTAAAAACTGAAAAAATCACAATATTCCGAAAAAAAAAATATTTTTTTTCCTTTTCGATTTGATATAATTATATATATTTAGATTTCTATGACAAGATAGGTCATAGGCCTCAATATGATGCTAGGATTCGCTACTACTGCCACCTCCTCAATATTCATCCTTCCCTCTCTGATCATTGAGCGTGGTCCTTTTCAAAAGGCATAGGTGGGTTTGGAAGATTGGTCACTCCACTCCTATAGCTACACTATTGGGAACCAAAACAAAGACTAGACTGGTTTATGTATTTTTACATGTTAATGAAAGAGAGTATGCATAATAACAAAAGAAGTATACCCCGACAGTACTCAAACCTACCATATATATCTCTAGGATACTAGTCGACTATGAAATCGCTAAATCAACCTCTTGTTCACAAGATCGAGGATAATTACTTCGCACGTGCAATTAAAGCTAATTACCTTGCTTCGAGGATAATTACATCCCCAACCCTTTAACTACGCATTTTAACCCGGCCCAAGGGTGAGAGCAGACTCAACGTCCAGCCTCCATGCAAGCCCACCATTCTCCAGCCGCCACACGTCACATGGCACCATCTCCTTCCTCCACGTCTCCCCTCTCACCCTCACCCAACACGTGTACGCTCCTCCTCTAACTTCGCGATGAAACGACGCCGCCACCTCATCATCCTTCATCACCACCACCACCCTCACGACGGACGCCGTCCCCACCATCCTCCTGTAGGCGCCGTTCACCCACACCACCCGGTTGCAGCAGTCAGTTACGAGCCCCGGACACGTGTCAACACCTAAGCGCATCTTCACTTCCTCCAGACCCGTGGAGTAAGCCAAGTCGGAGGACGAGATCTCCGCCACCGACTCCACCGTCACCCACGACTCCTCCACCACCTTCTCCCGCCGCCACGACATCAGATCTGCTGACGTGGACACGGAAAGATCCAGATTGCGGCACCCCGACGGAGGACACGACTTGTCATCTTGAGCTGCTCGTCGTTGTTTCTTTGTCGGCGCCTGGTCACTTGCCGCGCGTGGATGGTTGTTCTCCGGGAGGAGCTGGAGCGTTACGACGTCGTTTGAGCGTTTAGGAGGATGTGTCGGTGATGACGATGATGTTGACGACGATGAAGATGACGAGGTGTCCTTTCTTTTGGCCATCTGGGATCTGTTGTTATTGTTGCTCTTGCGAGCCCTATCGTACTTCCGTCTCTTTCTGGGGGTGCAACTGTTTGCTGCGGCGGAGGAGGGTATTTCCTTGGCGGCGGAGGTAAGGGAGGGTTTGGGGGCGATGGGTCGGAACCGGAGCATGAGCCGGTTGATGATCGCGGGACCGACGTCTTGCACCGATCTGAAGCCGGATCTGCATGAGATAGGGTTGTTCATGTCGGACCAGCTGCTTATCATGGCTGATGATTCTCCACCGCGGTTCATCTCTCTGATCTTTCTTTGCTTGTTTGTTTCTCTCTGTCTCTATAATTTCTTTCTCCGGCGGAGGTGGGGGTTTGTGAGAGATGTGGGGAGCAGTGGAGGCGATAATTAAGGGGAAAGTGTGGGAGACATGAAGGGATCGACACGTTACACGTGTCCCGGGATAAACACGTGTCCTAGGGCAAACAAGAGCATACAATGTTAGGCTGTGATAGGCCGGCCAGATTTTTCCTATATGCTGCCCGACCCATCTCGATCTTCAAAGTTAAATAATATCTCTTGTTCTGGCCAATCAAGGTAATTAAGTTTAGCAGTTTCACTTACATTTCAAGCTTTCCAATTAAGATAGGAAACACAAGAACAGCCGTTGATGATGTATATGGTGGTCGAGCTATGAGTTTCTACGAATGGTCTTTTTGATGAGGTATGTTTTCTTGCCGTGATATCAGTTTGCGTCAAATTATATACCATAACGAATTTTTTCGATCGTCTTATTTGTTTTTACGACAACATAGATTTATGTAATTTATTTAGTTCTCTATTTGTCTACTCCAACTTGGTGATAATAATTTTGTAATCCAGAGAAAAGTCGCTCTTCGATTAATATCTATGCACCACAAATAATATATATGCCTGACGAGGGGTTGGTTTGCAATGGCTAATTTTACATGTTTTTACAGCAAAATATATTAATATAACTAATGCCATGTATTCCTTCAAATTGATTACTGTGTCATAAATTTCAAGATTTACACACTCTCCAATCTATAATAGATCCAAATCATTGACATGGTCAAACCCTTTCTCAGGTATATCTATTATCCTCCCATTATCTCCAAAACTAGATTATTGTTTCCAACAAAACTAAAGATGATTCACATAATGTCCAAATATAATCATAATAATACAACATAATAGTTTGGTATGAGAAATTGATGGGGGATAACATTATTGGTACCTAGTTTTACGTTATTTAACTTTGTATTTGGCAGGTCACGTCGAGCCAATTGGTACCTTATTTGTATTATTATTGTCTACATCCCTTTTGTTGCTCATATACAACGTACAATAATGCACGTAGATAGCAACCAGATATTTTATTTTTTAAATGGAAATAAATCTCGAAGTTCACTTGTCCAGAACATTCGGGAGGAAATATCTCAATACCTGTAATGTACAATCTTCCTATTGGATCAAAATTGCCAGCTGGAGTTTTTGACAGTAGTTAATTGGTAATTACGGAAATAATATAATATATATCTGGGTTTTGGATGATTAACTGCTAATAATCTAAGCGCATCGGAAGGTGGAGCCCAGCAAGCCAATCCATTTGGACCAATGGGAGAGGAGAAAGTGTCACCGGAGGGACGAAAAGGGAAAGGGAGATGGGACACGTGGTAGTCGCTGGCAGCTGGGTCGTCCTATCGAGAAACCTACTGGTTTGTTTTTGGTTGGTTGGTTCGTTTGTTTAATTAGGGTTTCTCTTGAAAGCGGTGTCTGCGGGGACAAAAGAAGAAAAAATACCACATTTTGAGGGGCTCGGCTATTAGTAGGGTTGGAAGTTAGATATCGTTATTTGGGATAAATCAAATATAGTAGGGATGGCAAAAATATCCGTAATCGTGGATATCCATCCTAACCCGGCCTAATCGGGTAGGGTAAAACTCGAATCTGGAAGACATTTAGTGGGTACGGGTAAAACCCGAACCCGAATATTGCGGGTAATGGGTGGGCATGCATTTCTCACTATCCAACCCGAACCCGCCCGATTATACACATACATATGTATTTTGTCTAAAAATAATCATTATTTTTCTCTAACATATTTTATATTTAGCATATAAATATAATATTTTCGTGAAATTGTGTTGTTTTAATTAATTTTCTTTATTCTAGTGAATTATTGTCATACTTTTTCTCTTACTTAATGTGAGAATACATATGAATGTTAGCATATTGGTTGGAGTTATGAAGAGAAATCATTACCCATGGATAACCGTGAATACCCGAAACCCGAAAGGGTATGGACATGGTTTTAATTTTCTACCCGTTTCACATGCGGGTATGGGTATGGGTAAAACCCGAACTAATTTGGGTAGGGTAACGGATATGCACTATCCGTCCCCGACCCGACCCATTGCCATCCCTAAAATATAGTATCGAATTTGTTTATATTTTGTATTATCGAATACACGTATTATTTTGTGAGATTGAGATTGAGTTTCAATTGTTATTCGGTATTAGAGATTACGGGATAGAGATCAAGATATACCAAAATACCGATCAATACGAAATATAAGCTAGTGCGTAATTTATCATTTGAACTAGACTCTCTCATTCACTACTAGACGACCCTCAACTACCAAGAGTGTCATTTAATTATACAAAGATCTTTCCATCACTATTTCACACTAGTATTAGTAGTCTTCCAATCTCAAATTCGTCAAATTAAAGATTACCAATTACAAGAACTTGAGATATTAGCTTTAGGCAACTCAAGACTCTTTGCTTAGCCTCTTTGCCCTAAATTAAACAATAAAATGTAATTTATATATTTAATTATTAATAACAAAGGTAATTAATTTTGTATTTGATAATATCGATTGGGATACCGAGGTACCGATTGGGATACGGAAATATTTAGGGATTGGGATTAGGATACAGAAATTATTTAGGGATTGGGATTGAGATTGATTTTAGGGTGCAATTCGACATTCGGGAATTCGATATTTGGTATTGGGATACCGATACCGTGCCGATTTTCACCCCTAGCTGTTAGTAGGGCTGGAAGTTTGGTATGGGTATTTGGGATATACCGAATTTGTCTATATTTGGTATTACCGAATACACGTATTATTTCTTGGGATTGGAATTGAGATTGGGATTCAATTTCAATTGTTATTCGGTATTAGGGATTACGGGATTGGGATCGGTATATACCGAAATACCGAACAATACCGAAAAATATAAGCTAGTGTATATTTTATCCTCTCAAATAAACTCTCTCATTCACTACTTCACAACCCTTAACCACCCAAAAAGCAAACACTAGTATTAGTCTTCTTTTAGCCTCCCATTCGTCAAATTAAAGATTACCAATGACAAAAAACTTGAGATGTCACATCTACTCCATTGTCCTTATCCATATCCTAGCTCTAGCCAAACTCAAAACTCTTTGTTTAGTCTCTTTGTCCTATATTAAACAATCAAATCTACTTTATATATTTAATTATTAATTGTAAAGGTAATTAATTTCGTACTCGATAATACCGATTGGGATACCGAAGTATCGATTGGGATACCGAAGTATCGATTGGGATACCGAAATATTTAGGGATTGAGATACCGAAATTATTTAGGGATTGGGATTAAGATTGATTCTAGGGTGTAATTCGGTATTCGGAATTTCGGTATTTTGTATGGGATACCGATACCGTACCGATTTCCACCCCTAGCGGTTAGGTTCCAGAAGAGGAAGAAAGGCGCGGCCTGGAAACACACGCGTTGGTCCTGCATTTGCTGCAATTCGAGTCGAATCATAGAGCAAAGAAAAGGAAATATATACTACTTGCTTTGGATTGTGCAATGACACTCTGCTTCATGCGCCCACAAGCTTGACCGCCACCTAATCATAGGTTGTTCGAGATGGAAGTGGGTTGCTACTTACATTTCAGCCTCGAGTTGGACAGCATGGTAGGTTGGGTTCACGGATGGTGGTGGTGATAATTTTGTTCATTTATGGTGAAACTCGAGAACTTTAAATGCACGTTCTCATTCATAAACGATGTAATGAACATTGATTATAACTACATCATCGAATATAACTCGACTTTATATGTCTACTTAAGGACGTCTACTAAGTCTCTTTCAAATAGGATGTGTCAAAATTAATTTTCATTTATTTTTGCGTTACTTCTTTTCAAGTTTTTTTTTTTATATAATTCATGGAAACTTAAAGAAACGATCAACAATCAAAGTCTTGGCATATTGCATGGTTGCATGTGTCTGATCTTAATCGACCATGACGTTAATTTGAGTAGAAGGAGAGGAATGTCAAAGTGGTTCTCTAGGATACGCAATTCTGTTCAACGTCCACTAAGATTAGGATGCCACCTGGTTGGTTTTCCTTCCTGAGTAAATGGAAGAGATCAGAGGAGCAGAGTCTCAAGCGCAACGGTGGGCTTGTTTGCAATCTTTTCAGCTCAAATTTATTCTAACTGGGAGTTTTGATTTGATCCGTCGGCCCGGCCCACTGGGCCCGAAAATGAACTTATGAACCATAACAATATTGATGGCCTTCATGCAGTGTTATGTTATATGAAAAAAATGGCAATGTTTGCCCTCTTTGATGTTGGTGATCAGCCTTACTAGCTCTATCCTCTTGGATATAGACATTGTGATATTAGGAAGTCTATTACTTGTTCTTGTCAATTACTTATTTTCTGAAGAACAATTATATGAAGTTTATATTCGAGCTTCATAACTACTTTTGAGTTATCAAAATTATATTGTTGTCAAATGTGGTATTAGAGTTGATGACTTATAGAAGGGTTTGTGTTCGAATCCTTAGAATTCCGATATTAATAATCACAAGATATGAGTTCATGGATTGACTTTCAATTGAGTACGAAGAAATTGATGGGTCCTAATTTGATTGAAAATCTTACTAGGCACAGCTAGTAGGATCATAGCATCATTTGATTGTATTGTTATATCATAATTTAACGAGCATAATACATATATCCGTATTAAATCTTTATCTCATTCCTCTATTACAAAATAAGTTGTATATAATTAATTATTGAACATGGTGTCACAACCTTCATGGTCAAAAGATCAATGCCCAAAGATTGACATAAGTGTGACATATGATGGACCTGCACAACCATTCAATTAAATACCAATAATCTCAAACATATATCATGCAATTTGTAGAACGTTGATACATATAATTGGTCCTGCCATCTTTTCCACATAAGAACATCAAGTTATCTTCTCTAAAAATACAACTTTGTACGTTTGATCAAAGGTCTTCAAGTTTTCGAAGGTCCACAACGACCACAAGCATGAACATATATGTACAATTCACAGTTGAGCTTTTCTTGGTCTATACACCATATTCGGTATTCAACCAGCGATCACCGACTGCAGATCAAGCTGCAGCTTCAACAACTGAATGCCACCATTTTGGTAAATTTTGAATAACATCTAACAAATATAACGTATGCAGTAACATATGTACACTTCGACGAAGTCTGTCTCCATACGATCAATCATCGATATTCATCGATCGTGAAAAGAGGCATCTAGCTACAATGGAACAAAAGACCAATCGTTAACATGAATCCATCAGTATGAAGAAGAGGTTCTTCATCATCGTTGACTACTTCACTATATATTTAAAGCAATTCAAAATGGAAGAAAAGTAATCAAGATTATGGTGGAAGAAGAGAAATAAAAGAATATGCATACATATGGAGCTGGTAAACAAGGTGCAACAAGTGATCATTGGTTGAAAGAGTGTATATATATGTATAGTTGGGACTTGGGAGTTTGGTTTTGGTTTCTTGGTAGAATATTAGAAAAGTGTAAAGGGTGCATGAGTCATACATTTGAAGGATGGACCCTTTGTTTAACATAATGACAGAGATTAATTAGAATCACAATTAATTCTTACATTTTTACTCATATATGTCATTTATAGTGGTCATTTTTGGAATTTCAATTTCTAACATTGTACCAATAAATTTAAAAAAATATGAGTCAATCAAGTCCTAAATGCTATTCTCTTAAAAAAATCACATTTTTTGTTGTTCATAATTATACAATTGGAACAAGTTCGAGTTTGTTTTTAGATGTAAAAATAATCGAATGCTGAGTATGAAATAAGGTACCTCATAGGTGTGTACATGGGTCGGGTGGTCCGGGTTTAGACATTTTAATCACCCGACCCATGCACTACGGTTTGAGAAATATTAAACCCAAACCCACCCAAAAAAATTTAAACCCTACGGTTTGTTTCTAATTGGGTTGGGTCGGGTTGGCGATATTTTTAAGTAAAAACCCAACCCAACACAAAATATGTAATTATTCTACACCATAAAAATATTTTATAACAAATTAAAAATTCAAACGAATAAACCGAGGTGAAAGGTATCAAAATTCACAAATATTGTTTGAATTTTAATAAAATTTTATTTACTTCAACTTATGTCTAGTTTTTTTTCACGACATTTGTTGAAATAGGCTAAAAAGGTTACAAATGAACGCATCCATAATATGTTATTCTATTAAAATTGTACACAAGAAAAAGAATTACGTGAATCATAGGTATATTAAACATGGCAAAATATCTTAATTTTCTCATAAGTATGACTATATATGACATAAATATTTTTTTGGATACGAACTCATACCAATAATTGGAACACGGGTTGGGTCGGGTTCTACGGGTTGTGTAATCCAAAATCCAAACCCAACCCAATAGAGGCGGGTTGTACAAAAGAAAACCCTCACCCAACCCAAAACCTTCGTTTTAGCGATAAATACGGGTGGGTTGGGTCGGGTTGGACGGGTGGGTCGGTTTGCGGGTGTGCTTGTTCACCCCTAGTACCTCATATGCATTCAAAAATCGAGAATGTATCATATACAAACACGCCCTAAGATATTAGATGCATATATATCTCAAACAACAACCAAGAAACAATTAATGCATAAAAAATTTGGCATTACTAATTAGCAATTCTAAACTATAAGCGACTCAAATGTTCTCAAAAACTTATATATTGCCCACTTGAAAGATTGTTTCATAAATTATGAAGATTTATTATATTTTCAAATTAAACAACAAAAATTTGATATCTAGAGTGGAACTTTTGGATCTAAACACAAATCTGTAAGATTTAGCTGATATGGATCGAAACCACAATTTAATTTTAATTGATTTATCCGTTGACAAATAAAGCAAAAATCTTAATTAACTTCATCATGATAATAACTAGCGGTATTAGAGTCTAGAGATAAGTTCAAGTACTACTAGTTAAAAATTCCTTCTTCTTCTTTTTTTAATAGCTAGTTAGACATTCTAAAGTGTTTTAGTGCCAAATTGCCATTACATAAGCATCTTATTCCTTAAAGACGGTATTATATGGCTTAGTATTAGACAATATTTTTCATTAAAAAAACCCAATTTCCCCACAACTTGCTCATTTTATATGTGTCCCCCCTCTCAAACCCCCCCATGCATCATGCACGTAGTACTCTCAACGTACTTATAAGTGCCCTCTTACAGGGGCGGAGCTAGTATCTAGAGATCGGGGGGGGGGGGGGGGGGGGGGGGGGGGGCGAACTTTGTTTTATAGTATCCATCAAAATGTTCAAAGAAGATAAATAATAATAATAATTCATTCATTATAGAAACCCAAACAGTGTTTTAGAAACCCAAGCAATATTTTAGATGATTAAAAGATATAAACATGTGTTATAAACTCAAATTTTATGTAATGGTCTATTCAAAATAAATAGTAAATGACCAGCATACTTCATCTTTAATTATCTGGTTTGAACTTTAAAATTAGAAAATATATGAAGATGAAGTACAAAAGTTAAGTAGTTAATTCAAATTTTAAGCAAAAATTAAACCAAAAAGAGAAAATCTGCAAAAATATGGTTATGCCAAGGATTGAACCTGAGTACCTGGAAGATACTAAGAGCTGCTTTCCGCTGGACTAGAGCTAGTCAAAGATCAACATTTTTTCGCGGAACTGTAATTGTATAATAGATAGTTTCTTCAGAATTTCCAAAATTCTCGATATTTTTACACGCCATCTTCAAAATTCTCGGGGGGGCCGGGGCCCTCCCGAAGAACAAGGTAGCTCCGCCCCTGCCCTCTTAGTATATAAGAAATAAAAAGAGTTAGACAGTATTGTGGTGGAAGTTTTAAGTTTATCATGAATTCATGAAGATATATACGAGCAAGAACAAATTCACTCTCCATTGTTAAACCAAAATCTATTAGATTTTGAGTTTGGACGCCTATACCACATATGGACGTACCATATATTGTGTCCAATTCTCATATCATCTTACTTTGCTCTCTATTTGTATGTTGAGAAACAAAATTTGGTGGTCTTGATAATTTCTTTTTATGAAGGTGAACTTAATTATGTATATGCTACTTAATATTCTTATTGTTAATACAATCATCCCTAGGTAGCTAGCTAGTTATCCTTTTTGTGTGTGTACTTAACTTAGCTATCAAGTAGCTATATCTAACTAGCTAGTTAGGCATGTTATTGTTTATTGTACCTACATTTTTGTATTTATAATAAAGTGGGTTTGGTTGAATCTGTCTGGTTTATTAGTTGATTATTAGTTTGATCACAAACAAACAACATTAATGGGACGAACCAATAAGCCGCTTGTCCTATGATAACAACGAGTCTCCTCTCATATGCTATCCACCTGTCTTCATCCTCCAGTCATATCCTAGGGGTTTGATAATAATAAATAATAATAATAATAAGAGCTATTCATCATGAAAATACCCAACATATTATCCTTTACATCTTAGATTCTTAGTATGTCTATATATGTATATATCATGAACCTATTTTTTTAGTCAAACGTCCTAAATCTAAAGTATTGCGTTGAGTCGAAGTAAACTGTCAATTTAACTTCTCTTCGGTGTAAATTATGAACTAAAAATTGGCTAAATGATATCATATCAAGAACCCAAATAAACCAGCCGCCACCTCATCAATATCCATCCCCACCCCTCCATCCCTACCATGTCATTGTGTGTGGTCCTTTGAGAATGGGCATATATATATACAGGTGGATTTGGAAGATAGGTTAGTCCTATTTAAGAGGAAAGAAAGAAAGAAAGAAATCAAGAATAAATACTCCACATTTTATAGTTAAGTTACCTTGGTAGGTTATTGCTTTCAAGGAGCAATTCGGGTTCCTTGAGTAACCAAATCAATTTCTGAACCCGGCCCAAGGGTGAGGGCGGCCTCAACGTCCAGCCTCCATGCAAGCCCACCATTCTCCACCCTCCAAACGTCACACGGCACCATCTCCTTCCTCCACGTCGCCCCTCTCACCCTCACCCAACACGTGTACGCTCCTCCTCCAACCTCGCGATGAAACGACGCCGCCACCTTATCATCCTTCATCACCACCACCACCCTCACAACGGACGCCGTCCCCACCATCCTCCTGTAGGCGCCGTTCACCCACACCACCCGGTTGCAGCCGTCCGATACGAACCCTGGACACGTGTCCCCATCCAAGCGGATCTTCACTTCCTCCAGATCCATGCAGCAACCGAAGGCGGAGGAGGACGAGATCTCCGCCGCTGACTCCACCGTCACCCACGACTCCTCCACCTCCTGCCCCCGCCGCCACGTCACCAGATCTGTGCCGTGATGGTAATAATAACTATTATTATTATTATTATTATTGTCATCCTCGGCTGCAGAAGCGGCCACGGTGAGATCCAGGTTGCACTGTCTCGGCGGCAACGACGACGAGAGCATGTTCCGATCTACAGCTGCTGCTTCTTGTTCCTTAGGCGGGTGGCCTTTCTCCGGGAGGAGCTGGAGGGTGACGACGTGGTTTGAGGATTTAGGATCCGGCGACGACGATGAAGCTGACGTGTCCTTTTTCTTGACGGATCTATTGCTCTTGCGAACCCTAAGGTACTTTCGCTTCTTCCTGGGCTTGTAACTGTTTGCTAAGGCCGTGGCGGAGGGATCTGGGTTGGCGGGTTTGGGGGCGATGGGGCGGAAACGGAGCATGATCCGGTTGGTTATCGTCGGACCGACGTCTTGCACCGATCCAAACCCGCCGTGGTTGGTTGACCAGCTTATCATGCGCCAGCTGGATGGTTCTCCGCCGCTGTTCATATCTCCGATCTTGTTCTTGCTATGCTCTCTGTCAGTCTGTGGCTTTTTTTTCTCCGGTGGAGGTGGGTTTCTTGGAGAGAGATATGGAGCTAGGTAGTGGAGGCGATAATTATGGAAAGAGGGGTTGGACGGAGAAAAAGGATCAACACGTGTCCTAGGGCAAACACCAAGAGAAGAGAATTAATAAGAGCATATGGTACTGTGGGCTCTCTGATTGGCCAGGTTTCCCCCATGCTGCGTTGTCCCCGACCCGACCCGTTTCTCCGTCACTCTGTCAAAGAAGGTAATTTCATTTGTTGGTCTCACTTTCATTTCAGCCCAACAAAACAAAACAAGGCAGAACAGGAACACTAAAAGCAAGAACAGCAGTTGATATATATGGTATAGCCGATCGTTCTATGTGTATTCTTTTCAGGAATGATGGTTTCTTGCAGTCTGTCATTGTGTCGGAGATATATGGGGTTTGTTTGGAATCTCTCTGTATATCCTTATCGTTTCAAATCGCATAATATGTCGGTTTATTTTGAGAGCACTTCTACTATGCTATATAGTATTGGTATTTTAATGTACAACTTGAAGTTGTACCATACCATTAAATGTATAAGTTTATGTTGTATCATAAAACAATTTGTATCATTATGTTATGGTACAATTTTACAACTTGAAGTTGTACGTACCATCACATAAAGGTACAAGTACAAGTTGTACCATAAATGAATTTGTGAAAAAAGTATAGGTACAATCTGAAGTTGTACTATAACGATAAAGGTACAATTTCAAATTATACCATAAAGGCAAAAACTTATAGCACCCATACTATATAGCATTGTAAAATTCTCTTATTTTGAATTACAATATGCTTTCTTAATTTTTATGCTTCGAAAATTTTGAGTTTGAAAAATCAATAATTTGTCGTTGAATTAATGGTCGATTTCTTCAATTACTTGACTGCGCGTTGAATTATTTAAGTACAATAATTATATTTAAAATTATTAACAATACATAAATATATAAATATCAGAAATTTAACGTTGTAGAGTAGTTATATATTGTAAGTCAACTCGTCGAGCCACTCCTTTGTCTCCTCACACATACATACCTCATTGTTATCTTCTTTTCTCTCCTTTGTTTAATTGTTTCTAATAAATAATGTACAATGTACGTAGATAACATTAAGATTTTTTCATTTTTATATTACTAAATTCAAACCCACTCGTCCAGAACATTCCTTCATCACACTGAGCCCACTACGGGAAAAGTGGCTTTATGCAACACTCGTCCTGCAACACTTCTAAAAAGTGTTGCATAAAATAAATATAGGCAACAGTTTCATTTTGTGTCGCTTAATATATATCTTATGCAACACTTTCATTTTGTGTCCCTTAATATATATTTTATGCAACACAAATCAGCAGCATGATAATTTTTGTTGCATATTGTTAATAATATGCAACACTTGTACAATAAAATAACTTGTGTTACATATTCTAATATTTAGACTAACACTTTGTAAAAAATGTAACATATTGTACCAATTTGATATTTGTTATTAATTAAAATTATTATATTAATCAAGAATATTAGTTAAGAATATTATTATGTATTAATTAAGTATATGAACTATAATTATAATAATTAATAATATGATTGTATATTAAATAAGTATATGAATTATTATATTTATATTAACTAAGTATGTGAATTTCAAATTAACTTGAACTCTCACTACAATTGAAGAACAAAACATAAAAGAACCTCCACTACAAATGACCAAACCTCGTTATACCTTTATTATTATTAATAAATACTATTGAATTTTTTTCACTTCCCATCGGATCATCCATATCTCGAAGATAATTATGGTAAAATATACTTAATATTGATTTTTATATTCTTCCTAACAAAACAAAAAAGAGCCTATCAATCCGAACTTCCAGCCTTAGCATAAAGTATTTCGCCAAAATAATTATTTGAATGGTTATTTGACATTTGGCCAATTATATTATCTAATTCTCTCCCTGAATATTTTCTATTCATCCTAGCTAGGAAAAACATTAAAGTAGCATACTTCCACACTTCCACACTTTATATAATGTTTTCCTTGAATAGTTTTTTTTGGTAGAATCCTTGAATATTTTTAACACAATTAAAATTTGAGATTTTATAATTCCACCTTGAATAAGTGCTAATTTATCAGACCAACGAGTCATGGAGACTCGTATGCATCATGGTCAACCTCTTTGAGAATAGTCATGGAGACTCGTACACATTTCTACAATATTTAATTTTCTTTCGATTTGATAATCATATGGATAAAATGTGACATAGCATATATTTAGTAAATTAACAACTCTATTAGGTTTACTAAATAATCTTAGTACAGAAGCTTTGGCATAAGAGGCGATATTTATTAATTGACAAACAATGTAACAATTGATCACTAATTAGGTAAGTCTCAATTCCAAGTACTTTATTCTAGTAAATTACCTATTATCATCGTGTACAACCATAAAGTAAAAATTATGGACTGTATTTTTCCTCGTAAAACAATGGTAGGCAATAATATTTTTTATTCGTTCATCTCTTCAATAATAAAAGCTCTTCCCTTAAGTATGATAAATCCAATATATTTTCCGCAAAAATAGCTCTTTGAGAATCTCCCAACCCATAAAAAGATCTCAACTCTTCCTATTCTATATCAATATAAAATTCACTACTATTAATCCAATCTTTCCCATAGAATAAAAAACCTTCATCTGCCGAAGTCCTTCTTCTGCAAAACCCTGCTTCTGTTCCATCGTCATCTCCTGTTCCTAGATGCCATCCTCGTTACCGTCAATCTCAAGACTCAAGTACACTGCTCTCTCGATTGAAGTTTTTGTTAGTGTTAACATACTGTTAATTAGGTATTGTACAAATCTTCTTCCTAAAACTAATATTATTTTCAGAGTTTTATTCCACGTGCTCTTCTTCCTGGGATACACATTAACTAATTTAAGAAACTACTCCTATAGTCTTCCCCTTATAACAATGAAGCTTTGTTTTGATAGGAATCATGAGCTCCGATTATATTGCTTACTCGGCCAAAAGGGCAAGGGAAACTCAAGAATGACAAGCCTCTGACAGTGATGAGATAAGATCCCAATCGATAGATGAAGTATATCATTCCGATGAGACTCATAATCCGTCAGAAGAACTGTGTGCAAGACTCTCCAATAATATTTTTATTACCATAGTTCTTGTCACTAAATGAGTTATACGTGACAAATTTTATGTAAAATGTATTGTGTTACGAGTCAAATCCACGCCATTGTTGTATTTTGTAATGACAATATTTGTCACAGAAATCACTTTTTGTGACAGATCAAATTTATACTAATGTATACTATTTGGTACAATGCACAATCGTCACCATTATTGTCATTCGTGACAAAAAAAAAACTACAATGTATCATTATCGTCACTTATGTATCATATATCATATCGTCACTAATATATACTACTCTTACAATGAATAGACGTCACAAATAGTGTCAGGAGTGACTAAAACATTTATCACAGAAGTGTGCTATTGTGACAGTTACCACTGTCGCAAAAACCTCCTATTGTGATAAAATGATGGCAAAAAACAGGAATTGTTTGTGACAACTAAAAATGGTTACAAGTGAAATAAATGTGGTGACGGCACGAAACTTGTCACAAGTGTAAAGTATTTGTGACACTCAGAAAGTTGTCACAATTGAGTATGTCTTATGTGACGAAACACCCAGTTACAAATAAACCTTATACATGTTAGGTTACATGTCAAAAAGTGTTGCGTATATTTTTTAGAGTGTTGCCTAAAATTGTGTTGTATATGTGAAATTGTGTTGCATATAAGGTATACTTATGCGACACATTTTTTGTTGTTGCAAAAAGTGTCAAAAGTGTCACCTATTACTTTATACAACACCACCTATAGAGAACACTGCTAAAAGTGTTGCATAATACATATACAACACTTTCGGTACTTCTTGCAACACATTTCGAGTGTTGCCAAAGGCCACTTTTTCCATAGTGGCCTATACCCTACCCTGTAAAATATCTCTATACTCATTTTTTATGGGATATAGCTTTCGTTTGATAGTTAGTTGCTACTTAAGATATTCGAACTTAGGACTTACAGATTCAAAACCAGTGATATTACACTGTATCAAACCTTTGTTCACAAAATATCTACATACTCTTACATGGTTACTTTTAATCTCTCTTACTACGTAAGAATTTTTCACCGGTGGGTTGACATTGGTTAATGCCACTGTATTCATCAGTAAATATGTACCCTTGTTGTAAGAATTGGATTGGATTAGCAGGTAGACCATTAGAACTTTCAAATTGGTTACAATAGTTGTTCGTTTTATTTTTAGGGCGGACTAGGATGAACCGAATAGTTATTCACATTTGGCCATGAAACCATATGACCACCCAAATTTGACTCGTTCACTATTTAAACCAAAGAAAATATATAAGAAAAAATCACTATAGTGTGAACTGTGAGACAATATAACCGAACTAATTAATTTTATGTATACTTCCTTTTCTTCTTTTATTAGTCTCCTTGTTGGATTTACGTGATCCGCTATCCACTTGCACCCTAATTATTAATTAGAATTTTATTAAAAAAAATTGCATGATTTCTTTTATTAGACAATTTGAATGCTCTATTAGAACTTTTGGTAATGAATGATATAGATTTGGAATTGTTTTTAATAGATACAAGTTGAGTCCTAAATTAGAGTGTTATACACATGTGCATCATTGATTTTTTATTGGATAAGGATAGTTCTACAAACAGTTATCCAAGAACCAGTTAACCATATAAACCACTAAATCACTAATCCAACCAGCTATGAAAGCATAGGTAATTACCAGAATAAATATTTCGGGTTTTGTCTGATTAGTTGCTACTGGAGAGGAACTTAATTGTAATTACGTGAATCAAAGAGCCGTAGTAAAGTAGCAGGTGCGTATCTAAGCGTGGGGTCCACAGGCCAATCTGTTTGGACCAATGAGAGAAGCGAAGGTGTTAGGCCAACACCGGGAGACGGAAAAATGGAAAGGGAGAGGGGACACGTGGTCGTCACTGGCAATATTATTTATTTATTTTCGTGTTTAAATTGTCCCATCGAGGAACCCACTGTACTGTTTTTGGTTGGTTCTTAATTGGTTTCTTTCTGAAAGAGTGAAAGTGCTGTCTGAGAGACAAAACATATAACTAGAAAAATGATTTTTTTTTTGGTGTTAGGTTCGAGAAGGCGTGGCCTGGAAACACGTGTTGTTCCTGCATTTGCTGTGTCGGGTCGAATCAAAGGAAAAAGAAATGCTGCTTTGATTGGGATATATTGGCAGTCACCACCGACGAGCTTGACTATGATCTGATCAAAATATCAAATACATAAGTGACCATTTGTGATTTTATATAAATAAGCGCGTAATTAGTATTCCTTTCCGAGGTTAAAAAACTGTTGATGATAATGGCGAATCCTTGAGAGTGATTTGTTTGGAAATGGTATGGAAAGAGTAGTTACTTTTGCATCGATCATTAGTGAAGGAGTGAGAAAAATGAATGATATGAGCTGATTTTAACATACGATGAATGAAGAAAGGGCTAAGGTTGACCGATCACTCTATTTTCTTAATTGATTACGAATTGTGCATATGTTGGGTGCCAGGATAGATGGATCATTGGGGGACAAAGGCCCATGGAGGCGGCTTAGGCCCAAGCCCGCTTCAGTGCAAGGAGGTGGGAACGAAAGGTGGGAATGAGGCCCATTCGAAGATCCATAGGCGCATGAAGACAAGAGTGGAGCGGGGACCAGAAGGCTGAGGGCATGCCACCTGGCTAGGTGGTCCTGCAGGCGCCAGGGGCTGGGAGCCCAGGAGTTGCCACGTGGAGGCGCCCGACCGTTGGGCCGTACCGAGCATTTAATGACGCGCTGACGTGGAGCTGAATTCTAGGAGCCCGGTCGGGGCCTCGACGAGTATAAATAGTACTCGGTAGGTAGCATTTAAGCAGGTTGGCTTCTCTCACTAAAATCTCTTGGAGCACTTCTCTCTCTAAACTCGGCACTGACTTGAGCGTTGGAGTGCTAACGGGCATCCAAAAGCCCTTTAGGCGCCTGTCTTGCAGGACCTAGGCGCCCCGAAAGAAGCCCATCAGGTGGAGGTCCGAAGAAGTGGGCCCAGAAGGTACTTGGCACGAACAACATGTTATTTTGTTTATATTTCGAAGTTGATGTGGACTGTAGCCCTTCTTAACTTCGAACTTATCTCCATCGTTGTGGTGATTGTGAATCTGCCAATGGCTCACGATTTGATGGGATTATTGAATCCTCATCGATGTCGACATAGTCTCGTATATATTGTTCATAATGATATGTTAAGAATTATTTTACGGTTTTGCTAACGCTTGCATCTACATTCACTGTTAAGTGGGGGAAATGGGGTTAAATTTGTATTTACATTTGTCCAGTAAAAAATTATTTCACTATTTAACTTTTTTTTAGTTGATAGACATGTCTCGTTTGAAAATATACATATATATCGATATCGATATTTTACTTTCTAAAATATATATGTTGGGCCAAGGAAGGCGTAGAGGCGACGCGCGAGAGTGGGATAAGTGGGGAGCAGCAAAAATTAACTGTAGCACAAATGAGGACACGTGGAGGGTAGGATGAGGCAGCATATATTTTGAGCTTAGATTTGTGACGTCATCCAGCCTCTAAAGTCTGAACTAATCCCCATCATTTTAGGGGCAAAGCCACCAATTAGGTTTGGTTATGTTGGCAAAGTGCCACGTTCTCACTTTTAATTATAATGATTATTAATTGAACATTATTAGTTAGCATCACGCCTTCCCGTTTTAGTATTTTGCTGCCCAGCCATATTTTCCTTTTTATCATTCCACCCATTTACCCTTTCCACTTTCGATTTCTTTACTTCTATTTGGTACCCCTTTTTAGGAGTTTTGACACAATAAGATTTTTATTCCCTTTTCTCCTTATTTAGAGGGCTTGTGTATTGTGTTTAGGGTTTCTACGGTGATGGCTTCTAACGTATTGGTTTGAAGCCCAAACTTTATTTTGATATGAGAGCATGAGGTGCCGTTGACAATGTAGTATCAATTGGCGGTATTGATATGAGAGAAAGTTGGAATGATCAAATTACTATCAAGAAACTTGCTTTCAAGCTAGCGGTATGTTAGCAATGAAAGAGGACTAGATGGTTGAGTCTTTGTCTTTTCGAGCTATGACAATTACTCAGCGAAAATATTATTTACTCTCTAATTTTCCCTCTAGAGAAAAGCAGAAACTGATTGGTCTAGATATGGAAATAGATCGATGTAGGAAAGATAAGTATATATAATTAATGTAGAATATTTTATATTTTTAGAGGTTTTTTTTTGAAATAAAATTGAAAGGATTAAAACAAAAACAATAGAGTGATGCATGCAAGTATAATTTATGTGTCATAAGTGCCCTACATGCCAAAACATATATACCTAGGGGTGACACAAGAAACAATACTGCAACATTTTTTTTTAAACGAGTAGCTAGATATTACTGCATGAAGATGGGACACTCCAAATTAACAATTCAAGACTTTTTACTTATACAAAGAAAAAGCTATTCAATACTCTTTTAATTTTTAATTGATGGTGACATGGACCATCAAAGAGACCGCTAACCATTATAATGCAACCAATATGAGTTATATGATTCCTTTGATTAGTTTTAGGTGCAACTGAAGATTGATTAATAGTGGTCTCTTTGGTACACATGTTCTGTAGTTTTGACAAACAAGTAATATTTCCAGTTAAAAAACTCCTTTCCGGTTTATTCTGGTATAATTATTCATCGTTTGGTAAGAGCGTTATTGATAACTGATCACACGTATGTGCGTAGAAAATCCATCCTATTACGTTCAATATCCCCCAAAATGTTGAAATTTAATTGAAAGTAAGAGAAATATGAATGATTTTACGATCTAATTATGGAGCAAAACATGCATATGATTGCGTGACATGTCAATTACCAACATCGTAGCTACTAACTAATAAGTAAGAATCATAGTCAGTGACGATGGATTTGGCTAAGATTTTTTGTATGAAGACCCCAAGTCGATCAATAACATTACATGTACCTTAGCGTGCTTAATTAATTTATTGAAGTCCAAAATGTAGGAGTTTGTTACACCTCGTAGAGCATGGACCATAAACACCATTTAGGTATTTACCAACATATATGGCAAGTTATAGCTAGTGAGAAAACATGACAAATACATTCAAAAACCTTTCACACGTATCTCTAAACTGAATAATGGATAGCACATCCAAGTTAATTGTCACATACCCTTAATATATAATATAATATAAATACTAAACACTTAATGACGGCCAGATAATCTTATTAATCAATATTGTTATCTTAACTAACAAGGTTCGATTGGATGTATGTTGACCAATAAGAGAACCTTAATTAATCTTTCTTCACTATTGGTGTTGACTAAAGACAACAATAAAAAGACGACAACATATGTAATGCAACGAATAATTCAACAAATGGAATTCTCTTACATAAGGGAAAAAATATACACCAGAAATTGTTTCTTAATTAGTAAGAACGTTCTTGATGGTCCACGTGTATGTGTTTTGAATATTCCGTTCTTATAAATTTAACTATATGGTAACTATTAACTAAGGGTGAACATGTGTTTGTGAGAGAATGAGTATGTTACGTATCCGTAAGGATGATTTATAAACCAATTCCATTAAGTTATAAGTATGAAAGGATTTAGAATTTTATTATTCTTCACATCAATGAAAGAATGAAATAACGAGAATTTATATATTGGCTTAAGCTTAAGTTACTAAAAAACTAACTAAAGAAAAGCGATGACGATGAAGAAATAACGTACCAATGCATGTAACATATAGTAGCTACTCGCAGTAACCACCCTGTCAATGTCCTAATGACCATTGGGGTTCGTACATTTTAACATAATCAACGATTGTTGGAATATCATGAGTTCGCAAATCCCTTAGATGTATGTGGTGACAATTGAATTCAAGAACACATGATCTAACATGTTAGGACATCATGACAACAACACACGTACGTTAAGACTAATAATCTAATTCATTAAGACCAATATTAATATTGAATTACTAGGTGTTACTATTATTAGTTTTTAGTATCATCACTATCACTATTGCTATTATATGAATATATTGTCATTTAATTGATGATAATTGTTTATTGTCGTATTTACTTAATTATAGTGTGTTCTATTTACAAAAAACAGACTACCTATAATAATATGACATGAAAGGAATTGTATGGAAAAAAATTATTAAAGTTTTTCATACTTTAAATAAAAAAAAAATTTAATTAGACACATTTTTATGAAAGATATATAATATTTATTAGCTACACGAGAACAAAAAATGGGTTCTAATTTAGTGTGGTTTTTTTTTTCTATAGCTTTAATTTGGGAGTAATTAGATATTCATTGTTCCCAATACCCATTAGATTGCCTCTTCGACACTAATGAACATATAACAGTTGGCTATATATATATGATCATCGGTGTTCACAAAAATATTACATGATTTTAATTATATTTTTTGTTGGAGAATTAGGAAAGATAAAACGAAATATGAATCAATAGCTCAATTTGAAATCTTTAAAATGCATTATAATATTGGAAACCTCCTAAAATTTCACTAGATTTAAAATTTTAGAAATGCATTATATCTTGAAATGTATACATTTTAGGAGAAAACACATCAATTAATACATCGATACATTACTCCAAATATACATGCATTCTTAAATCACGTCATGCTCTAAATACTTAATCTTATTTTATTTATAATATTAAAAAAAAAAGATTAAAGAACTCATCAACCGAACTACTGATAATATGAAAATGATCCTTGAAGTTAGGAAACAAAAATCAACACAATACACCCAAACACAAATTCAAGATTTCCCTCATCCCCTGTTAAATTGCAAGTAAACTATCATCCCCCTTTGTAAAAAAAAAAAAAAAAAAGAGGCAAAACAAACATCAAAGAGAAAAGCTCCAAAAAGCATGTAGAGATACATACGTCTAGGGAACAAAGAGTGAGATGAATGAATGAATGAATCAGTATGTGTCATTATCGGGAAGTTAACCTCTATACCGTTGCACTCACGATCACAAACCAACAACACTTTATTACCCATATTGCAATTGGACCACTCCAACACATGCTAGCTAGGAAACTCAAAAGATATCACCTAACCTTCCCCATCCTCCAAGCTTTACATATATTTGTAGCTTGCTAATTGGTACGTAATATATATGCCTAACATACCCCACAACACACATAAATATGCACAGAAACAACAAACAACTTTGATAGTGAAACTTGGTACCTAATTCCTCATTTAAAACAAAAACTTTGAGATATCATCTAACCAATATATACCCCATCCCCTTCCAATCTCTCACCTATTGACACTTTGCACCCCAAACACACACACACCAACCATCATTTGAGAAAATGTACCATATACTAAAAAGCATCAACCTTTTATTTTGTATACCTTGATGACTACTACACTTTCCTTCTCTTAGTTTTTGAGAAGAAAAGAGAGGGAGAGGGAGAGAGAGATAACCCTCTAGCAATATTGTCCTCTCCATCCATCCTTATATACAATTACACAAAAATTATCAAAGAGAGTAGTAGTAGTAGCAAGGGAGGGTCATATAATGTGCCACACACAACCCACACACATATCAACATACTTAAAAACAACCTTTTACCTTTGTCTTCTTTAGTCTTACTCACCATTTCATGGGGTCACTTCACTTAAAAGCTTAACCATAGCTTAGGCTAGAGACCCAATTTGAGAGCAACCTTAGTGTCCAACCTCCAACCATACCACCCTTCCTCCTCCATCTTCCACACATCACAGGGAAACCTCACATTAGACCACTTTCCGTTATTGTTACTATTATCCCTAAACCTAACCCCAACCCAGCAGCTAAAAGCTGGGCACCCCTGGAAGTAAGGTCGCAACTTCTCCGCAACCACTAGCCGCACTACCACCTTATTACCACTGCCTCCCTTCTCGCCTGCTGCCGCACCCACCATCTCTCTATACGCCTGGTTCACCCACCGAACCTTATCCTTGCCGTCCGAAACGAAAGCGGGACACGTGTCATCCTGCAGATCCATCATCCGGATCCCTAACAGACCCTGTCCCTCAGCCACGTCCACGCACCCGCCTGTCACCCCTTCCGCCGTCACCCACGTCTCCACCTCCGCCGTCTCCGGATCCAGCACGGCGGCGCCGTAACTGTCGTCGCTGCTTCCGCGGTTATTCTTTGCACTGTTACTATTATCTTCCACGGGAAGGGTAGGTACGGGATCCGAGATTTTGACGTCAGATCTGTGGCGATCCAGCTTGGAAGCCTCCGGAAGGAGCTGGAGAGTTGCCGGGAGCTGCACAAACCCTAGATCTGCCGCCGCTCCGCCGTCGCCACCTACCCTACTGTTTCTATGATCATTATTGTTATTCTTCTTGGTGCTTTTCTTCTTCCGCGGCGCAGCTGCTCTAACCCTAACGTACTTACGCTTCGTCCTTACCTTGGGGACTAGCCTGGCCGCGGAGGATCCGGAGCCTGCGCCGGCGGCCGGCTTGGGAGCGATCGGGCGGAATCTGAGCATCATCCGGTTGATTATCGTCGGCTCCTCCTCTTGCACGCGCCGTCTCCGGATCCAGCACGGCGGCGCCGTAACTGTCGTCGCTGCTTCCGCGGTTATTCTTTGCACTGTTACTATTATCTTCCACGGGAAGGGTAGGTACGGGATCCGAGATTTTGACGTCAGATCTGTGGCGATCCAGCTTGGAAGCCTCCGGAAGGAGCTGGAGAGTTGCCGGGAGCTGCACAAACCCTAGATCTGCCGCCGCTCCGCCGTCGCCACCTACCCTACTGTTTCTATGATCATTATTGTTATTCTTCTTGGTGCTTTTCTTCTTCCGCGGCGCAGCTGCTCTAACCCTAACGTACTTACGCTTCGTCCTTACCTTGGGGACTAGCCTGGCCGCGGAGGATCCGGAGCCTGCGCCGGCGGCCGGCTTGGGAGCGATCGGGCGGAATCTGAGCATCATCCGGTTGATTATCGTCGGCTCCTCCTCTTGCACGCGCCCCGAAGCGAAGTTCATCAGCCGATACCCGTCCCCTCCTCCGCCGTCCATCTAGGGTGTTTCCCTGCCTCCGCTTCACCGTCGGATCAGGGATTTTACAGTCTCCCGGTGCCGGCGGTGGAGATTTCGGTTGGTTTTTTCGGGTGGTTTGTGGAATATTATTCTGTGGTTTTTCTCTCTCTATCAGGTGGGGGGGGGGGGGGGGGGGGGGGGGGAGAGAGAGAAGGAAGATAATCTAAAGCAAATAGCGCATCACGGTGGCCGGGTGAAGAGCCTGCACGTGTCCGCTGGCTGCCGAAAGAGTCGGAGAATTGAACTTGAGAAAAAATCTTCATTAAATTATAAGGCCGTGTTTGGCTCGAGTTTATTAATTTACTATAGTGAATTTTACTCTCTCGAAGGAGTAAAAAACGTTGTCATGAATGGTTAGTCCATGGTAACAACGTTGTAAGGCCGGAAGTTGCCTATGAATCATGATTTACTCGATGCTTGAGGATTCTAGCAATATAGGTAAAAGAAATTGGCAGCTTTCCAATTCACGAATAAACCGGGTCTCAAAAATTGTATTTTTCCTTCTAAAATGTATAGTTAGTGTACTTGTGTGTAAGATACGAATCATTCTGCCGTTAAGATAAGGAGAACAAGTGCTATCATACTAGTGCTCGAACCCTCCTTCAACCAAGTTAGGAGCGACCCACAACAAATGGTTCTTCAATCAACAAAAATCTTTGTATCCCACCATTATACATGTAGAACAAGTTCCCTTGGACATACTCAAACATTATAAAAATGTAATCTTATGACTCTTCGAGTTCGCCCCCTTCTATCTACTACTATATATAAACAAACAATATCTCTTCCTCATTCCATCACTTCCAAATCCTAAGAACTTAGAATCAAACAAACAAACCTTACGGTCAAACGATTCCTAAGTGCTATTCTGAAAATGAAATTCAATAATGCCCATAATTTAATTATATGTCAAAGTCACAATTTGATTGAAACCAAACAAACCCTACCCAGGTATACAAATACAAGCAAGAATTTCCCTTTTGAAAAAAAAATGATAATATGTGGAAGGTGATTGGCCAGATGAGGGCATTAGTGGTGGGACCCTCCAGGGCGGGAAAGTGAGGTCGCATAAATGTCGCATTCCAGCCTTGTGATTGGCTGGAATCAATTCAGCCAATGGGGAGCGAGTACGTGTGGAGAGATGGAGACACGTGGGGGCACCTTATTTTGGGGGAGGGAAAGGGAGTTGGGTCCTATTGGAAAGTAGACACGCGGTCCAATCTCCGCTGCCTGCCTGCTTCCTCCGTTTCGTACAAATTTTAAAACAGTTTTTATTAACATCCTTTATTTTTTGGGGTTTAGCAAAATTAGTACACATCTTTATTCATTTTTTGGGGTCTACATTCTACAAAGTCCGGACACTTGAAGGTGAGTGGACGGATAAGGAAAAGGGGGAAGGTAGGCCTTTCTTTCCCATAATTGTTTTGTTCCATTGGAAACCAATGGAAAGAAAGGGGTGAAGTCTTTAGTTGTACGATGAGGACGCGTGGATGGTGGGATGATCAAGCGGATCTTCCTTCCAAGATTTCCTGACAACGAAAGAAAGCCAAACCCCACAAAACCAAATTACCATAACAAGATATATATTTCTTTGTTTGATTAGGGTTTAGTTGGCCCAATGAGATTGATGGATGCTCTATCCATCCTATCACTTCCATCTTTGTCTTCCAATCAGACACCCTGGAATGTCCACTTCATCCCCTTACCAGATTGATACTAAAGGTGATAAGAAACTGGGAAGATTGGAGGAAGGAGGAGTTGCCTGACTTGCCTCTATGGATGCACCACATAACGACATGATAACCATAACAATGTGATAAACTCTACAAAAGAAGTCAACGTGGTCTAGTTAGACCCTTAACCCGACCCCTCACATGGTTCATCGATCGGACGAGTCCATCGCCAACCAATCTTACCAATTCATCTAGCCCGTCTTGCCTGCCTAGTCTAGATGAGGTAAGACTAGGCATGAGGGAACCGCAACCCGAATTCCCTTTTATGGCCGCAACATCAATGGCGGATTCGTGGACTAAAATGGATGGTTGCTTAGGGTGCACATTGAGGATCAAATGAAAGCACAAACGAGTAACGAAACTGTACATCACCACCCAAACTATTCGACCCCAATCAAGATACTACACGACCGCCAACACCATTCAGCAACATAACCCTGGTGAGAATCTGCCATCGTCCATCGATATGGCCTCTTGTTGGAGTGTAGTATTGGTCCATATCCAAAATGGGCTTTAGATTAAGCCTCTTCTGATTCAAGAGAAAGGTCATCAACTACTTCGAATATAAGCACCACCCTAATCTAACATCCTAAAGAGCAAAAAACATTCCGATTTCAGACAAAACAACAAGAAATCAGCTCTGTAGTCCTGTGCAAAAGTTGCATCCACATCTCATAGTAGAAACCAAGTTCTAAACACAAATTCTCATGTCCACTTCAAAATGTGGTGTTTACATAATGATCATATATATGAGCTGGGATTTGCCTTATTTTCTTCCTGGAACCATAAAATAGAAAGAAAGAGAGACATAATAAGAAATATAAAGAGGATAAGGAATGCTGGTTTTTATGGAGGGATCGTTTTCACTCCACCCCACTCTAATAGAAAACCGACCACAGTTTAACATGGCAGTGTAGTAGAAAGTAGAACCCTACTCAATTTCTCTGGCAAAAAAAGGAATTACCAAATTATTTGCCCAAATTTCCCCCCAAAACGGAGAAGGATAAACCGGATGAAGAAAGAACAAACTTAGTTGACAACGTCAACGATCAACTTGCGAGACTTGAGGACCGACCACCTCATACGTCGGTGGTAGCCGACCTGAAGCAAAGCCAAGGATAGTAGGAATATCCACTTGAATCCCATCTGACGATTAGGCAAGGAAATAAACGTTAGTCATGTCGATTTCTGAAAACATGTTGGGAACATCAGGGGAGTGGAAATGAAAGGGTAAGTGGGACTTACCAGTTTCCTCTCTTCCATTTCAGGTTCCGCAGCCCATGACAAGAAAGACACGACATCTTTGCCCATCTACACACCATCATGAATAGTGATGCTGAAGTTATTAGTGACAAAGTAATAATGACTTCGAACCTTACCAGAGATATATGAAGGTGGTGAACTGACCTGAGCCTCGGTTGCTGGGGTGCCATCTTCATACTCAACAGCACCATCGTTGAGCATCTTGGGCATAGCAATAGCTCCACCAGGGAAGTAAGGATTGTAGTGCAAGCCCTCACGAATCTACAAGGTCAAGAGAATTCTCGGTTAGACATTAATGAAAAACAAATAGCACAGCACCAAAGACAACCAACATGATAGAGTCATCAATACATAGACAACTACATGACACAGTAAGTGCAAGTAGAACTACATGTAATGATGTAATATATGAAAGCAGCTTCGATATAAAAGTGTGACAAACAAAAGGTAATTACAATCATCAAGATATCGAAATCCAGCAGGCACGAGACACAAGGAGCATAGATATCAGCTTCCAATTTCTTAATGACCATGATTCGGACATCCCTAAGGGTAAGTGATGCTAATTAACAGCCAGGCGAGGCACAATTAATACAAGTAATACTAAACCATTTGTTAGTTGAAAACAACAGCATGTAACAGAGACATCGAGGTTGAAATTACCGAAATTCCAGCAGGAGGCTCACGGTACCCAGTTAAGAGAGCAAAGACGTAATTCTGGCCATTGTGACGAGCCTGAAAAAAGAGAGGAATGAGAAAAAGAAAAGTCCAGGAAGACTCAATGGCAGTTAAAATGCTCATAAGTGTAAATTGAGAATTACTTTTGTGATGAGGCTCAGATCTGGAGGATATGCACCTCCATTAGCAAATCTAGCAGCAGATTCATTTGGATATGGCTGAGGGAAACGGTCACTCAGTTTTCCTGGGCGGGTGAACATCTCACCTTCATCATTGGGACCATCGACAACTTCAATCTCAGCAGCCATAGCCTTTGCTTCCTCTTCTGTGTAAGCAACACCCACCAGATCACGGTATGATATAAGGGACATGGAGTGGCAAGAAGCACAGACTTGCGTATAAACCTGGTGGCCACGTCGAATCCTATGGAAGAAAGTATAAGTACCTGATTAGTTACACAATAAAGACTTGTAACATTGGGAGAAAGAAACACCGATATAAAAACTCATGAGGGCAACAAATGGACTCACGAAGCATGGTCATAAGAGCTCAGGATGCCACTGTGAGGCCATGGATAGGTTGGTGAAGCTAGGCCATGCTCGGCCTCATCTGAAGCAGATACAACTGCAGTACCCAGAAGCCCAGAGAGACCAACTCCAACAAGTGCCAATGCTCTCAGGGACTTCTCTCCAAAAGATCCAGCCTCCTCATGACCTTTCTTTGAATTGAAGAAAGATGAAACCGAAGGAACCTGAAAGGTGTAAACTGGAATATATTAACAATAGATGGAAAAAGTAGTGAACACACAAACTAACCTATGCAAAATAAGAAGATGATTGGTCTGTTTGTTAATCAAAACAAATTCACTAGTTTAAGAAGTCTGCAATGTGGTTCATATAATAACAAACAAATTTACAGAGGCCATAGCATATCAACTAGACAGACGTCATGAAAAGAGTAAGGAGATCAGAATTAGACAGGGATGTAGAACTTACCATGGAGTGAGAATGGAGTTTCCTCTGAAGAAGCTGGCGGATAACCCCTCCTCCAGCCATTTTGCTCACTATCTGTTTCTCTGAAGCACATTGCAAGAAGAAAAAGAGCAACAATGAGACTGTACCGGAGGAAATAGACAACAGGCCAAGCAACAACCAAATGAAACCAAATCCTACACATAATCACAAATTCAACAGCTCTTTCGATTTCTCGCTAATAAAAAAAACAAGGTTCATCTATCATAATTAATAAGCAAGCAGGGTTTATCCAGCCATTTTACTGACTCTGTTTATCTACCAGTCCCGCCTTCACGATATAGCTTCTTTTTTTCTGAATCCTATAAAAAACGCTGGGCATACGTTGAAAATGAAATCCCATACGCAAGTTTTTAACTTTGGGCATCCTATAACTCCGTATAGTTTCTCCAGACATTCCAGCTCAAACACAACACTCCCAGACATCGAGACACCATCCAGATTAACGAAAGCATAGAAGCAGCGTTTATGTATGAAAACATGAATTCAATTTATTACTAGCGTCAAAGCCCTCCAATCCGGAGGGAAAAAACCACAACTTTTCGTAATCCCCAGTGGCCCGTGGGAGGCACAAGTAATCCACACGCTTCTATGACTCAACAGATCACAGAATAACTGAATAACTTCACTAACCCACCAAATCCCATATCTCAAAACGTTCCCCCATTCCCCCAACAGAGCAAATACGCAACCACGAATCAAAACCAGCAATCACACACCACAAACGAACAGTAGCAAATCATAAGAGAAGCGAATAAACGCAGCATTCGATTCGGACTTACAGGGACAATTCAACAATCGGAACAGTCAAAATGGAAAGAAAGGGAACCCTAGATAACTAGCGAGGGATGAGATGCGGCGAAGAGGAGAAAGGCGTGAAAAGGAGAACTTACGAGGAGATGGGCAGGGAACGAAGTGGATACGGTGAAGCAGGAGGGGGCGCAGAGAACCGGGAGATCGCCAGGGACCGGAGGAGCTGCCGCAGCTGAGAGGAGATGGGAAAATTAGAAGCCCACGCCGCGCGATCGAGCCAAAAGGGTGACGAACTGACGAAGAGTGAAGGTGAGAAACCCAAAAGAGAATAATTAAAAAACAAAAACAAAGGGAGAGAGTGAGAAATTAGGAGATGTAGAATGAGCCACGATTCGAACGATTGGTTTCTTCCTGCTAATTAGCGATTGTTGCCCCGTTGTTACCATGACTTGATCTGCAGCAGATTGGGCTTTAAGGTGGGCTGGAGACGACCCACGGCCCAACACGTATGTAATGTAAACATGCAATCACCAAGCTGATTGATTATCTGGTTAATAGGGGACATTCCATGCTGATGCTGCTAGAGTATTTCTAATTTGTTTTTTTTTGATAAGATAGAGTCTTTCTAATTAAAAACAAGTGTTAGGGTGCTCTTTTGTGTTAGTTTCTGTATCTAAGTATAGTCTATAGTCTTGTTTTTTTTTTTTTTTTTTGCAATTCATCATCTTTGTCATAAAAGGAGGTATTGCACAATAGTATATCCAGAATGCGGTATTTGTGTAATGAATCTCCAGAATGAAGTGTATCAAATTTATGAACGTGTAATTCGACTTTCTTTAAGTACATGATACAAGTGAACTGCTGAGAAGTGAGAAACTTCTAAATTCTCCACTCAAAGTACTTAACTTCTAAGCATGTGACACAAGTAGCTAGAAACATTAAGCAAAGGGGCCTAGTAAAAGTTTCACTAGTTCCCTCAAAGCCACAAGCTGTTCTTCCATTTCCACTTGATATTCTCTTTACAATGCTGGAGGAATCCATCTGTAGCCATGAGTTCGGATGTAGCCAGCTCTCAGCAGCAGCTCGTCGGCTTCTGCAGGCCCCCTGCTCCCCTGTTGGTACGAAATGGGTTTCAGCTCGCCATTGTCGATCCTGTGCAGAAGGGGTGTGAATATATCCCATGCAGCCTGTTCGATTCAATACACATGGAATCCAATGTAGTTTTACTTTTGATCCCCCAAGCATATATACTGTTAGCCAGTGGTTGCAGGGACTTTTCATTTACCTTCAACTCGTCTCTACGTACAAAATGCTGCTGGTCGCCATGAATACTGCAGAAAGAGAGTAGTTTCTAAGTACATGGGAGCTTTGAAGGAATGAAAAAGTGGTGATCATTACGTGTCGAGGAGGAGGCGTTCGTAAGCATCTGGAATGGTGACTCCATGATAACGTTGTTTGTACGACAAGTCTAGCTCACTCTGGACAGTTGACATCTCCAGTCCTGGCTGCTTAACCTGCACCAGATCAGGAAAATAGTGGCCAGCACGTAGAGCAAAATGGCTATTTTCAGTATGGATCATCATCAGCATCAGATTAAGAATCGAGATTTGCTGCACATACTGCCACTTTCATGTACATGGCTTCTGAGGGCTGCAGTCGCATAACGAACTCATTTCTTCCTTGCTTTTCGCCTAAACAAACACGGACAAGGTAGCAAAGATTAATCAAAGACATAGACTTTCTAATCGAGTGATCAAGCAAAATCCGGATTGCATGGTTAGATGACATACAATTGAATATATCACCAGGTACATCCTTGAACTGGACTCGAATATCTGCCTTTTTGGAGCTCAATGCTTTCCCTGCCTTCAGAATGAAAGGAACACCTGTGTTTATTGCATCCAGTGTCCATGATCATCAGAGATAAGGCTAACAATAGAATGTGGATGTAGGAAATCATCAACCAGTTACCTTCCCATCTTTCGTTGTGGATTCGGAGAATGATGGAGGCAAATGTAGGGGTGTTCGAGTGGTCAGGAACTTTTGAATCATCTCGGTAGCCATGGTACTGTCCTAGAACTACCTCTTCATCTTTGATTGGCTCTACAGACTGAAGAACCTGAAAGAAAGACTAGTGGATGAATACTGAAAAAATAATTTCACTTGATTCAAGTTCTGCATTTCCATAAAAAAAATGTACCTTAACTTTTTCATCCCTGATATGCTCAGAATCCAAAGAAACGGGCTTTTCCATGGCTACAAGGCAAAGAACCTTCCATCCAATCATCAGGAAGTAGCAGTCAGTTTATATGACAATCTCATCAGTTTTACTTCTAACACATGCTAATTTTACTTACTTGCAAAAGATGGTTTTGAATGATATCTCTAATTATTCTGCAGGGGGGAAGAAGGATGATAGCTACATATCAACTACTTAGTCCAAGAAGCTCTAGGACAGGTAAGTTCTTTCCTTTACTATTAAGCTTTGAAATTGATCCTACAATCTCAGTTTAGGGGAGAAACAAATGTTGCATTACCCATATTCATCAAAATATCCACCACGGCCTTCTATCCCAAAATCCTCACGGAAAACAATCTGCCAAGTAAGGTTTCCGTTCATCATTATGGTTAACATCCACCTTGGAAAGCGGAAGCAAGAAGATTCTTTCATCCTTACCTGGACATTGTCAATGTTATCACGGTTCCAGAGTGGTACAAACAGGCGATTTGCAAATCGAAGCACCAACTGCAAGATTTGCAGCAGAACAAGAAGAATATTGGTCAAAATATAAGCATGATGGAATCTCATCAAAATGAGTAAATGAATGAGTCTAAGCATAGTTCATACCAAATTCTGCACCATTTCTTTCCCCAAGTAGTGATCAATGCGGTAAATCTGATGCTCCCCAAACAACTCTCCTATCTGGGAACTAAGCTTCTCTGCGGATTCCAAATCTTTGCCAAATGGCTTCTCAACAACGATTCTTGTCCATCCACCAAGATCAGCTACAAAACATTATATCAGTTTATCTCCATATAGATCAATACCAAAGGCTTAACAGACATTGAATTTGGTGTTGCTTTCCAACTTACATTTGTTCATACAGCATAACTTGATCATCTTGCAGACGACAGGATAAACCGAGGGAGGAAGTGCAAGATAAAACAACCTTCTACAACTTCCATTTGCACTACTTTTGGCATCTTCATGCTCCGAAATTTGCTTATCCAACAACCGGAATCCTTCCTCGGTATCATATGAACCACTTGTATACTTCATCTGCAACAAACCACTTTGAAAGCATATATAACATAGAAATATGGAGAAGCCCAATGCAGGAATAGGCAAGACCAACCAGTTGCAAGAACTCTGATACATCTTCAGCCTTAACTGAACCCTTCTCTAGATAACTGCAAACAATAGTTTGAACAATACCTTCAAAGTGCCCATTGAAATACAGAGAAATGAAAGATGGAATACTAAAAACCATTCTCTATCTCACCCTACCTGCGTATACGGCTTCTGAGATCATCATCTGACATTTCAGTCCTTGCATACCCAAAGATGTGAAATTCACAGGATTGAATGAATCTCTGACGGATAGGTACACACAATTCCCAAAGGGTCAAAAATCAAATCAGAAAAGTAACTGTCCCGCATAGGTACTTAAACAATCACTGAGTTTTGAATTGTGCGCCCAACGAGGCATCGTACCTGGCGGTAAAGATTGAAAAGGGCGGGAAATGTCTTCTTCTTGGCGAGATCACCAGAAGCGCCAAGAACGATGATTGAGAGGCACCCAGTTTCAGGCTCACTCTTCTCAAGCGGCTGGTTGCTGGAATCAGCAGTAGATTTCTCCATTGTCGTCGTTTCCACAACCGATCCCCAAGGTTTCCCTCTGATTACGGTGATAGCGTAATCTGCGGATTCTTCTGGGTAGAGAGGAAGAAGTGAGGCAGGGTGAGGCGGTGAGCCACGTGCACTGGTTCGCTTTCAAGCTACTAGTGGCTGAGGCTTTCACCATCTTTAACGCGGGTGTGTCCAGAAGCGAGGCGTAAGTGTAACGTCCTTAGCGGTAATGTGAAAACATATATAGCGGTGCATAAGCAACGTCCATTCAGATCAAAATAGCTCGAAATTTCCAAAATGACATGTATGATCATGAATTCAACTTGGACCGTATTATATATCTACCAATATAACTCCGCTAATGATTCATAAGACGGACGTGACATGGCGGCAACCTGTAAGTAGTGCTCTATTACTATTGTAACAGCTTCAACTCTACAATACTAAACATTTATTTCATTACCGATACGTAATACAAACACCGCACAGCAGGCTCCAAAGGGAGCTTTTTATGCAAATTAGTTTTACATTACACTCTCAGCTGGCTTAGAACAAGCAATCCTTATGAGTTATGACACAAGGAGAACCGCCCACATTGTTGTGTATTGATATACTGTTACAGCTTTCCGAGCAAAGCAAACACGGTCATGTCACAGTTTTTCCTTCATAGTGTCGGGGGAATCCAGATGTAGCCGTGTGTTTGAACATATCCAGCTCTCTCCAGAAGCTCATCTGCCTCTGCAGGACCCCGGCTTCCCGGCTGATACGGGAGGGGCTTGAACTCGCCATCATCGATCCTGTGCAGAAGTGGAGTGAAAATCTCCCAAGCCGCCTGTTTCATTTACAAAAAAACGGCATTATGATTGGAGCTTCCCCTAGTTTCCAGAGAAAGATGAAGTGGTGATTGTGGTTTGATAAAAGTCAGCCTTACCCTCAACTCGTCTCTGCGAACGAAATGCTGCTGATCGCCTCGGATTCTGCATAGGAGAAGCACAAATGAATATGTCACATAGTACAACATTGAGTTCTTTTTGACACAGAAATGTGGGTAAGCTTACGTGTCGAGAATTAGGCGTTCGTAAGCTTCTGGGATGGTGACCTGTTGATAACGTTGTCCATATGACAAGTCTAGCTCACTTTGAACTGTTGACATCTCCAGCCCGGGCTGCTTAACCTGCACCAAACAACGAAAACTCTTGAGCAAATCTGACTCTTTGCAAGGGATTTGAAGAAAATGTTCAAGACCAGAATTTGCCACGTACTGTGAGTTTCATGTACATTGCTTCTGATGGCTGCAGGCGTATAACAAACTCATTTCTTCCCTGGTTTTTGCCTAAACACGAAAACACTAGTCAAGAAACAAAGATTCGACATGCCAAAAACTCAGACTGGTACCTGCAAAATTTAGTACATTAGTATTTTACAAGTTTTGATGTCCATACATCTGAAAATATCTCCAGGAACATCCTTGAACTGGACGCGTATCTCTGCCTTTCTTGAATTCAATGCTTTCCCTGCCTTTAGGATAAAAGGAACGCCTGTAAAAAAGTGATGCACAAGGTTAAGATACACAATTTACTATCTCATACTGCTGAAGCGTGAAATAAAAAGAGAAATAGGATCACCTTCCCATCTCTCGTTATGGATTCTTAATACGACAGTAGCGAATGTAGGGGTGTTTGAGTGGTCAGGAACCGTTGGGTCATCTCTGTAACCATTATATTGACCCAGAACAACCTCTTCATCTTTGATTGGCATTACTGATTGAAGAACCTGAGATTCTTTCAGTTATTAGTAACGCTAAAAAAATTCCAAGAAAGAATACTAGGTTGACAAAATTGGCTTCACCACCCTATTTTCCTAAAACTTCTGCACTCCTTTCCAGCAAAATTAATTACCAATCCAACTGGAGTCAGAGACGAGTAACTCGGAAAATGAAAATGCATTAGGCTCATACTAGAAACATGTACCTTGACCTTTTCATCTCGAATGTGTTCAGGCTTCAAAGAAACAGGCTTTTCCATAGCAACAAGACAGAGAACCTTACATGAATGAAGAAGCTACAGTCAGTAGATGGTCTAGTCCACAAGTAATAAGTTGATAATGGAACCATAACGTTATGAAGTATGTAATATTCAGTGTCATAGCAAGCTTCTTACTTGCAATAGGTGATTTTGAATGATATCTCGGATGATTCTGCAGGGAGAAATAGAACGAAAAAATCTGATTACCGCATACTAACTACTTAAAGTATGTAATCATTATATTCTTATAAGTACTCTGCATGCTATTGAGTCAAATTACTAATCTATCCGGAGCACTTGACAAGGAAATTATCAACTGGGCATACCCATATTCATCAAAGTATCCACCACGGCCTTCAGTTCCGAAATCCTCACGGAAGACAATCTGCAGAAATAAAAAGAAGTAAAATGATACAAGTTAGTGTCTATCATTACGCTAGATGATCAATATAGATGAAGAGTAGAAGAAGGGATTCACACCTGAACATTGTCAATATTGTCACGGTTCCAAAGAGGCAAAAAGAAACGATTTGCAAAGCGCAGGACCAACTAGGAAAATAAAACAAACATAAGCATGAAGAGTGAAGAGTGAAATGAAACCAAAATGAATTATGAGTCTTACATAAGTCCAGACATCATACCAAGTTCTGCACTAATTCTTTCCCCAAATAGTGATCAATACGGTATAGTTGAGGCTCCTCGAACAATTCTCCAATCTGGTTGCTCAGTTTCTCTGCAGAATCCAAGTCCTTGCCAAATGGCTTCTCAACAACTATCCGAGTCCACCCACCAAGATGAGCTAACACAAGGAATAAAAGGCCATGAATACACATGTTTCCAAAAACCCTGCGCATTTAGGCTAAAATCACTTAATCAGGTAATATATCAGCAATCATCTCAATGAGTGTAACTTACATTTGTTCATGCAACATAGCTTGATCATCCTGCAAACCACTGGATAAACTGAAGGGGGGAGTGCAAGATAGAACAGCCTTCGAGATGATCCTTCCGTGCTGTTTCTGAACTCTTCATGAAGTGAGATCTCCTTATCCAACAGCCGAAATCCTTCCTCGGTGTCATAAGAACCACTAACATATTTGACCTGGAAAACCACCGTGAGTTTATCGTTAAACTGCAGCATGCCACAAGCTACAAATACCAAAAGCAATGCAACAAAAAGGGGCCCAAACTAACTTACCAGTTGTAAGAATTCTGATACTTCCTCAGATTTCGCTGAACCCTTCTCCAGATAACTGCATACAATATCGAATTCGATTGAGATTATGTATTGAATAATTAGATTTCGCAGGAATTCAAGATTACCACAGTCACTCTCATCTCACCTGCGGATGCGGTTTCTGAGATCATCGTCTGAAATCTTAGTCCTTGCATATCCAAAAATGTGAACTTCATTTGATTGAAGAAATCCCTGGAACCATACAGTAACATTCTTTTACGCAGTTCACAGGCAGAAGTACCAAGAAATCAAGCAACTTGGCAGCAAAACTGAAGCACAAGGAACCAATGGCAGCCGCAATGTTTACCTGGCGGTATAGATTGAAAAGAGCAGGAAATGTCTTCTTCTTGGCGAGATCACCAGAAGCACCAAGGACAACGATTGAGAGGCATCCAGTTTCAGGCACATTCACCTCAAGAGGCTCGCTCCTGAAACTAGATCTCTTCTCCACTATCCATTGCCCTCCTCCTGATCCCATTTTTCCTCCTGATCACTTTCCACTCTGCCAAAATATATTTAACACCAACCCACTTCACCAAACCAGCTCAAACACCAAACTAAACTACAAAAACTCTGTTTCTAACGAAATCGAGCAAGCGCGGCAAAAAAAAAAAAAAAAAAAATCACCAAAGTAAGATTACATAGGGGAAATTCAGAGAACCCATAAAGGAGAGAGAGCTCGAAACTAACTACCACTAACCGTTGAGCAGAGAAAACTGAGAGGGGGAGATCAGGTGCAATGGGTTTTGAAAATCGGAATTGAGCTGAGCAACTGATCAGAACGAAGTCAAAGAAAGCAGGAAATAAGAAGAGATGAAAGGAAGGAAGGAAGAAAGAAAGAACCGATTTTTCGTTTATGGAAGGATGGACAAAGGGGAGAGGTGTTGTGGGCATTGGAATATATTAGATGGCGTTGGCTCACCAAACTCTCTTTCGCTTTCTTCTTCCGCCTGCGTCGACTGACAGAAGAAAACTCGTCAAACCTGGCCAGCCGCCGTGGAGTCGACAAGTGCCCGAGGAATTTCTACATTTCGATCCCCGGATTCTCGAGTGCTAGAACTTTTGAGGATGGAAAAGTTTCAGTTAGGTGCTTGAACATTGCTACGTCTTTTAATTGAGTCCTCTCACCAAACCTTTCTTTGGAGATCTGGTGGAATAAATTGGACTCTGATGTTCAACAAATCACGGTACAATGGATGCGATCTTGACAGCTAACTTGTTCCTTTTCTTTTCTTTACTATATCAATATCAATATCAATATTTTGCTTTTTATATTCTTTTATGGGAGAAAGATTGGATCTAAGAAGATTGTTGGATTATCGTTAGAGTGGTGAATGTACGAATAAGTAATCTGACTAGTATATTGATAGATGATCAATATTAGCGCATGTTGACATGTTTGGATTGTTCAATCTTGACAAACACTAACATGAACATGATACCTCCAACGGTTGAGAGCATGATCTCCAATTGAAACAATCAGCCGATTGGATTTAAGAAGATTTCGAATTTTGGATATAGTGAATAATCGAATAGCTGATATAGCTAGTATGCTCGTATGAGCCGATGTCAGTACTCGTTAATAACAATAGATCATTTGGTCTTGTGATTTTATATGCACTTGTTGATCTTATTTACAAAAATAAACTATCACAGTATGATACCTCCGCGGCAACGTGATTTAATGATATACCAACATACACTAACCCCGATCTCCATCCACATGCTAGCAAAGTATATGTGAACAAGCACTTACCTAAAAGAGGGAACGCTTAAAGTCAATACTCTCGATGTAGAAAGGCATGATGATGGGCAACGTTAGCTGCACATCACCTTCATCATGGATCACAATTCACAAGCAAAATGCCTTTAACAGGACTTTGGGGATAAAACATATAATTAGCATATGCCATTATTGCCATATGGAAGATGTTGACCATCCCCACTCCCAGTAACTTGGGAAACGACAACTTTCCGGTCACTCTTATCGCCGGAGAAGCCCGACGTTGGGTACATCTGGACAGCCGACAGGCGGCGAGCCGGTGACGTTGGGCATTTGTCTTATCTTTATGGAAGTGCTGCAAAGACCAAAGAAGAGAACGTTGGGAGTTGGGAAGGATTAGTTGGTTGGTGAGGGGGGGGGGGGGGGGGGTGTGGAGTTAAAGAAGCAAGCGGATTGGCGTTTTCTCCAGATTTGGGAGATGTGGTGGCATGAATGAACCCTCCTTATTTAAAAGCGACCAAATGCCAAACAAAAGGTATCTATCTTTTTTGGCACATTGGAATATTTCAATTTCATAATAAAGCATGAACTTTGTGCAAATAGGTCACTCTACTATTTACTTTTCTTTTCAGCAGAATATCAAACACTTTCATTCGTTTCATGAAGCTTCGCGGTTCATAATATTAGGAGGTGATGTAACTGGTGTTATAGTGGTTGTGATTTGTGAATATCCATTTGCAAGATCGTTGACTATCATCAATTTCATTATGATGGACAAGGGCACAAAGTTCGCTTGTGGTTGTATACAAAAATGTTAATGCCGATTATCGGTGGAGTACTTAACACAAGATTGTAAGAAACTTGATCTAAGTTAGACCTTTCGTTTCAAGATAGCATTTTCTTTTCTGCGGTACAGTGGAAGAAACGCAAACATCGACCTGGATTTGGTAATTGTGCTTGGAAGCCAGATCTACATTTCTTAATTGCAGGATCCGAGAATGGAGAATTTGGGGTTAAGCAGCCATCAATTATTTTATTACTGCCATTGCCAAAGTTCAAAGGTCAACAAAAGTTGGATCCGTATTTTTTTTCCCACTCGGCACTCCCACTCCCACTCCCACTCCCACCCACCAAGCCAACAGCCGAATTACACGAGCATATGCCCCTTTTGCCCACCTGCCGAGTTGATTTCCACCACCTGCCAAGAATCTCTTTTTTCCTCTCTGCTGGCTACAAAAGTGTCAAATGCTTTTCATTTCATCAACTGTGCAAGGTTGGGCTAGGCAACGAATTGGATCAATGTGCAATTTTCCATTCCAACCAATATTTGAATTGGATCAATGAATAATATTTTTTTATCCGGGTTCTGATCCTCATTTTCCCAATCCAATCCTAGCCCTTAAAAGGCTGCCGGCAGATACCACCGAAAACGGCCGGCAGCTCGGGTAGGGATTCGACGACAGTGAGGAACCATAATCATCAGGGGGTACAACAAGCTAAAAACAGCCACACAAGTATCACAACCAAGTATCATTCATTCCCAAGCACGATACTGCCTTCGACGAAGAACACCAACACTGCTATAACAGTAACAGTGATACGATCATACAGTATCAAGGCCACCTTACACACCTCCAGAAACCAACCCAAATTCACATCCGAAATTAACTTGGCTTTCATCCTTCGTAAACCCTATTGGCTCACCCTCATTTTACAGTTACGACGTTGTTACAAAGGGCTTACCCGGCTGAGCAAACCAGATCATAGTTTCAGCCACTTGGGTTTTGCAGGTTTTTTGCCGGCAGACTTGGGTTCTTGGGGCGGAGCAGTAGCAGCAGGTGCTGTTGTTACTGGTTCAGAACGAGCTGGCTCAACTGGTTCAGGAATGATATCCAACCCTTTCAAAGCCATAATCTCTTCTTGGAGATACGGACCAGAACTGGCAGCTGCCTCATCTACTGTACGGAAAAACAAATATCTCTAGCACGTTCAGTTACTCACACTCAGAGAGAAGTGATATGTATATAGGGAGAGAGCAACAATTTAAATAACCTTTCGGTAGGTTGTATGAGAAATACACAATTGCACCAGGGATAAAGCCTGCTGAGTGGAAATCAAGTGAGAAGTCTTTGATTTGCTTCTTTGGAGGAGTTGTATCTACAAAATGAGTATAAAATCAAATTAGCCTCTTTCTGTTTAAGGTTCAAGAATTCCGTCCAACGACAAATCATATAAGTAAATATTAATATCCAGAGAGGATAAGCAATAGCCTTATTTCACATACATAGATAGAATGGAATTTCTGGATGAGCAACCACTTTCTTAAGAATGTCCAATAAGCTCTGTAGCTTCTCAGATGATTGAAATGGCACCTCCAGTGTATGATTATCAGGGAACCGAACTCTGATCACAGCCTGATTACAACAGCAATTCAACAGTTAGAAAATATAAACAAAGTGGATAGTGAAATGGACATTCTATGCGTGCAACTCAGCCTTCATCAACAAATAATTTGAACTGGAATTCTTGTAGAAAGTAAGCTTCTAAGGTTTTTAATAGAAAAAGCATCAAGCAACAAACCTTTGTGATTTTTGACCTGCGAGCTGCTTCTTCTGCTTCACGGAGTTTCCTTGTCTTCAGCTGTTTATCTGTAAAAAGTTTACTAAAAGATCAACACTAGTTCAGAGTTCAGACAAGACTTTCCTTAGCATTGCTTTGGCCGTTTAAATACCACATTCAGGTCATTCATTGATAAATTATTAACTGAACCATTGACAGCTATTCAATGGGGTCTGAAGCTAAAAACAAACTATGCGAATTGGTTCACCACAGGCTAACAGCCTTCTTTTGATTACAAGGAGCTACCTTCTTTCTTTGTTCCAAGAATTCGGTAATAGTCCTCTGCTGTGAACTCATAAAACTCGTCAGGCTCATCTGTTGAAAAATGAAAGTGTAAAAAATTAGGGAAGAGAAGTCCCCATTCAGGACAAAAGATGTTATGATTCCAGTTCAGTATATACCATCATTGGACACCTGACTTGGTGATGCAGAGACAAGTGAGGTATCGAAAACACGAAGATCCCGCCCAAACTTTTCTTTCACGGCATCAAACTTGGCCTATATATCCCACCAAAGGCGAAAATAAGTTCCACAACTTCAGCAGAAGCATTTCCCGACAGACCAAAAGGCAGAAAATGGAGATTTCATCACACCCAAGTCCATAAGTCGTACAAATGATAACCATCTCACAACTCAATAGCAAGGTCTAGAACTCTGGACACATCAATGCATCTTACATTCTAAGAGCCAAAGCAATGCACATTAAGTAAAGATAGAATGTTCAACACTGAACTCGGTACCCGATGGTCAAATAAAACAGATGCTACTGCTACACAAGAGCATCACAGACAAGAAAATCCCTAGGGAAGCAACAGTAATGCCACTGACTAAACTATAGATGAGTAAACTACTAAGTATCTGCATAGCAAAAATGAACTTGCACAACATGATCCCCCAGCTACAGAATTGCCTGAGTACCAGATCTTGACAAAACCAATCCCTTACCGGACAGACACGATCGAATCCAAGACTTTGGTTTCCGATAGTTCATCTTCAAACCGAAGAATCCTTCTAACTAAATCAAGTTCTCAGCAAACAAATCATCATTCCATCTTCAAACCCTTGCACACTCTAAACAATCGGCCGGTTCCGACTCAAGACCAAAAGAAGTGAGACCAAGAATCGCTGTTTTCGGTAGAAAGAGATCAAACCGGTGGAGGGAGGGGGAAAACCTTGGCTTCTTGAGCTTCCATGGAATCGAGAGTGGTGAGCCTCCGTCTCTTGAGAAGCACAGGAGAAGAATCACCAACGATCATTACCGCCGCATCCACAGTGCGCTGTCCAGTGCTCCGCGTCGGAAATGATACTTCCTTCGGGAAAAGGAAGCTCTGCTATCTTGTATCGCTCGGTCAGTTCTTCGCGGCTTCAATTCTTTGGTTCGTTGCGTCGGGACTGAAAGGAAGGAAATAATTTCTTCCTCAAAATGCTTGGCTTGTTCAGTAAGTATCAAGCCTGACCGACCTTATAGCTAATTAGCTATCGTCTTCGCGGCGCGGATCCGATTGGGTTTCCCGCTTGTCGGGCCTCCGTTTCAGCGAGCAATTGAAATGTGGACTTGGTTGAGCCCAACCCACTCTTTGTTTGGGCTGCTTCACCATAGTGTAAGGCCTTCATGTTAATCTAATTGATAATCACCTAATTTGGTTCATCCAACTCTTGTCTACATGAGAAATTTGTGCACATAACTTAATTTTGTTACTAATACAGTAGTTTACTATACCAAAGTATTCTGTTGGTTGAACCCTATGATATTATCATAATTCGTAAACAAACATGTAACAAGTTTCGCTAGTATTATCCGATTGAGATACGACCTAAAATAATATCATTATTCTCATTTGTTACATTGTGAATCGAAATTGGATCCATAGCAAGATTCGAATTCACGCCGGCAGCAGT